GGAGGAACAGCGACGCGATGCTCAAAAACCGAGTTGGGCCAGTAAAGATGCCATATACTTTACTTTATCCTTCCAGCGAGGGTGGACTTACTGGCATGGGAATTCCCAACAGTGTCTCGATTTGAATGGGCGGTGGGACCTCATCTATAGCAACTTTTGAACTGTCTGATCGCCAACTATAGTTATGACGTGTTTTTTCTCTTCTTCAGTCACCGTTCTCCTCTCTTTCTGAAAAACTTAAGTGATGGATATGTGAGTTTGCATGTATTCTTATCCTATAATGTTAATAGAAATAAATTGCCGTTTAGTGCTATGAAATCAATATCCCCAAGAGAAAAGAAAATTTCAGCTGCGTATAATGTCGAAGTAATGACTAGTACATGCTGCGTGAGATGCCGAATTATGATGAACAAGAATCAAAATGATATGGTTGCTCCATCTCACTCTAGTTAATTGATGAAATATTTGAGGTTATATTGCTTCGGCTGATAAACAGAAAGGACAAAGCCAGAATTTACCGGAGTTCGTAATGTCAACAACATGTGGAGACCAGACGGAAAAATCTCAGATCAGCAACTTCCTTTTTCGGCAAATATAAGGCTAAGTAACTGAGAGAGATGCATCCAGCTAAGTTCACTAGCAACTCGCTATTAGCACGGCAAAACCACGGAAGTTCATCCTCGGTGCTTTCCAGAAGAGGCTGCCATGTCCAATGAGCCCAAAAAAACAATGTTTACCTTATTATATAAAATGTGCATGGGTGCACCGTACGCGTAAATTCAAGCCGACAGAAGTGCATGTGATGTAGAGAGGGTCAAAATAGGGATGCCAGAGATTTAGGTCCCACGTACACTAATGTCATGCAGTTGGCGGAAACACGTAGGCCTGTTTAGAATTTTGCTTTTCATTCCATATAAGCCCCTTGTTTACCTTATTATATAAAATGTGCATGGGTGCACCGTACGCGTAAATTCAAGCCGACAGAAGTGCATGTGATGTAGAGAGGGTCAAAATAGGGATGCCAGAGATTTAGGTCCCACGTACACTAATGTCATGCAGTTGGCGGAAACACGTAGGCCTGTTTAGAATTTTGTTTTCATTTATATAAAATATGCTTATAAATAATTTTTATCGCCATATCGAACTATCACGCTCCCTCTTCCGGTATTTGCAGGGTTTGTTATCTGAAACCAAAATGTTATAGCCAATATTAAATCGTGTGATGCGTCGCGTAAGTAAAATGAGAGCAGTGAAGTGACTACGGGAAAAAAATGATCGCATCTTTTCTTGGCTCGAAGATCTGACCCTCTTGTATTTGCAAATTTCCTGATCACATTATCCACACGTACTCCGGAGATAGAGATCGAGAGCTGACAGCCTGACACAGGTTTTTTTTAATATAAAATTATTATTGTTTCTTATTTATTCTGAACCAACCACAACAACAATAATAATTTCTCCAATCCCGTTTGGTACGATGGAACTGGGAAACATGACAATAGAAATGGAATTAATTTCCACATATAGTTTGTTTGGTACGGATAAATGTATTCCATATGGAAGCCATTCCACCAAAAGTCAAGATTTGCATTTCCATGACCCACGGAGCCGGTTTTGCCCCTTCCTCCTTGTGACTGTTCAATCTTCCCATACCACCGCAAAGTTTCGCATCATGCCGCCGGTTATGACCCATTGTGTTGTGGCAACTTTAGCGACCAATGATGGCGGCGAGCTTCTCACCCCACCGTCTCCATTGCCTTTTTCACAGCTTCGACGGCAACTTCGTGATCTCTAAGAACTGAGAAGAATCGCGACTTCACCTTCTTCATCTGGCTTCGACTTCAAAATCCCTTCTTAGCTCTCATGGCTTATCCTCCGGATGGTGGCTGACAAAGGTGGAAGCTCGAAGGTGGCTAAATTAAGCTCGACGACGTCCAACGGTTTTTGAAGCTTCAGATTTGGTTTGCCATTCTTGGTGGCTGTAATTTGGGGTGGTTGACGATGGTTGGGGTGCTCGTGTTAGGCTTGGGTTTTTCTGAAACGAGGACATGTTTTCGATCTGGTTGCTGAAGCTTCAAATCCGGTTTGCTATTTCCGGCGGCTGTAACTTGGGGTGACTGATGATGGTTGAGATACATGGGTTATGGCTAAGATTTTTCATTAATTAGATGAAGGCATATTAGTAATTTACATTTTAAATAAAAATAAATTTTTTTTTTGCCCTTCAAATAAAAACTAGAATTTACTCTCCCATGCTATGCACCGGAAGAAATTACTTTAACATAATGATTAGTTCCAATTCGTTGTAACTTGTAACCTCCGCTACCACAAAAGCATCAACACAACATATTACAAGAATGTTTGGATAGCACGAGGAGTGCTTTTAAAAATATATTTTTTTATATATTTATTTTATATATTGTAAAATTATTTTTAAAATTATGTTTGGTTTCTATCTAAACACCCACGTTCCATATACAAACAATGGTATTGTAATTGTCATGAAATAAATTTGCCCATTTAATAACTTTATGTTTACTTATTTAAAATCAAACTTTGTCAACAACCCCCATTCTTAAATAGCAGATATGGGAACAATTATATCACATTTGCAAGCACTCAATATATTTAGTTACATGCTATCAAAAGAAAATATATTTGGTCACAATATACTTAAAGTTTATTATTCTAAGTTTAAATCCCACAGTGAAATATAATAATCACAGTCATAAAAATTGTTCCAATTAGCCTATTATTATGAAATACGTAGCGGTTGATTTTATTTCTCTCTTGCAATGCACAAGAACATTAAAATTTAAAAATTAATAATATTTAAATGCTGAATATTACAAATGCACGACCTCGTGTTATTGATGTCAATTAAAAATAGTTTGCGTTTAGAAAAAAATACCGTGCTAATATAATTAGAAGGGATCAGATCCTTACATTAGAATTATCTAGGAAAAAATGGCTGCGTAGAGGAGTGATGTGCCATTATTACCATTGAATAATAAGTAATGATAATAATCTCAGATCCAATTGAGGATCGATACACACTAATATGAAAAAAAAAAAAGGTATTTATGTGTATATGCATGAAAAGGGTTAGAAGCAAAATGGCATAAGCAATTATTTCTCACATTTCAATTCTTCATCCAGCAAGCAAGTCCTTCACTCGATGCAGCTTTGGGAAGCTTGGCTGCCATCTTATTTTATATTCAAATCCAACTACAAACAGAACACTAAAATTGAACTGATGATTCACAAGGGGATGCGGATGAGAAGTAAAGCATCCCGTAGGCTAGTAATCATTCGACTTCAGGTAGCCATAGACAGTAGCAAAATATGCATCCAACAAAACAATCTTCATCTTCATTCACCCAATAAGACTCTATTTACATGGGACTCGTTACATTCACTCAATAATCATTTATTCTCAAATATCATAGATTACAAATTATTGCACCATATTAGTCAAGCGGCAAAACAGAATATAGAGGATATACCCAGAAAAAAAAAGCACCATCCACACAAAAATTTCTCACATGCGTTTTAACAAACACCTATCAAGCAAACATATGTTAGAGCATGCTACATTCTATCCTTCCCCCCATATTTCAATCTAGAAGAACCAAGCACAGGACAACATAAAAGTTAAGTTAGCTAAATATAACAAAGTGAGAATAGCAACCTAACAACAGAAGAACTAAACCCATGGGAATCAAGCAGAAGATTTGTGTGGAGAGCATTGGTCGTGGCCTCATTGGTCTGCGGCAAATCCCACCATATTTGATTCTCACATAGAGGGACGGCAACTTCTCTTTTAGAGTCCAGTTCAATTTTCCTATCTTGGCTATATCTTCTTCCTTCATTCTCAACCTCTTTATCATCCCCACTTCAATTGCCTATAAAATCATCTTCGTTTGCTTTTTCTGCTTCTCATCTAAGACCACCTTCACATTTTCCATCTGTAACCGATTCCACAAGAAGGGCTGATAAAGCAATGGTGAGAGAGAGAGATGAAGAGAAGCCGAGGGAGAATAGAGATGCACACCTGCACACCTGATGTGTAAGAAGGAAAGAGATCTCTTTCTTAATCCTAATTCTTGGCCTCTTCCAATCCTTAGATTGAAAAAAAGAAGATCTTTTAGATGGATCTCTTTCCTATTTTTTTTTACAATTCCCTGGTAATCTTTTTTACTTTTAGCCAAAATCGTATACTTATTTTATTTAGACCTTATTTGCATCTTTCTAGGTACAGCCACTAATTCTCCTTTTTTCCAGCAATGTGGGGGAGGAGGTTTTATGCGAAATCCTTTTCTATTTGTTTAGAAAATATTATTTATGTAGAAAATTTCCTTCCTTCTCCCTTGTCACGTTTGGTAAGGAAAAGGAAAAAAATGAAAGGCAAAGGAAACAAACAGAATTTGAATTTTGAATTTAAAGTGAAAAATGTTAAAATGAGTAGGTGTAGACGTGTAATAGGTGTATAAGAAACTAACAATTTGACATACAAGCAAAGTAAAAAGAAAGGAAGCTGAAACACTCTTCACGAAGGCCGAAAAATATGACGGATGTGAACAATATTTGCACTTCCTTAGAGAGAAAATAAAAAATGAACTCCATGCAACTTCATAATTAAAAAAAAAAAAAATACACAGGCAGCCCCCTGCATGAGCTGTGACTGTTTGCATAGTCGTCACTGTTCACAGCATAGTACAATAAGTGAGGAGCCATTAGGAATGAGAAAATGGTCGGGTTAACTTTAATTTTTATTTATTATATATAGATAATAATATCTTTTTTTTTAAAAATAAAAATAAAATCTAAGTTTCATGACTATGACACACTTTTAAACTCTATATCCACCTCTATTTTCATTTTCATCAGAATTAATCGCGGGTCAACCCCAATTTATAATTTTATAAATAAATAAATAAATAAAACAAAAGAAATACTAGTAATATACCGAGCGTGGTGCCTCGAACCCCTCTCGGGCACAGAGTCCCCGCAGGGTTTAAGCCTTCAGGTTTATCACGGCCTGCCGCTCCCTGGTAATGCCCGGTCGTCATTTCAATCTTAATGGCTTGCCGTCCTTTCTCTGTTCTGCTCATCAGACGCTTCTCTCCCTTACCTTTAAACTCTAAACCTCCTGCAACTACAAGCTCCTTCTACCTCTCTCAGCTTCTGACGTCCAAACCCTACTCAACTTCTCAAGACTCTGCCGCTGACCCCAAGCCCACTAGCCTTTCTGCCCGTCTTAGCTTCGTCTTTGATCAAATCGACGCCATTGAGAAAGAACGCGACCAAAAGCACCAAACTCTTCAGCGAATTCGAGCCTGGCGAGAGTCTAAGAAGACGCAGTTGCCGCCAAATGACGCTAATGGCCCAGAATCAGAAATAGGGTCCGCAGCTAATGTCAACCCCAACCCAGCCGATGCCGGTTTAGCTGAGTCGAAGTTGGAGGCGACGAGAGAGGAAGAGAGGCATGGTGAATTGGCGAAGAAGGATGTAGAGTTGGTGCACCCGTGGCCGGAATGGATCGAATTAATGGAGAGGTTGGTTCAGCAGAATTATTTTGATCACAGGAGGAGGGACGAGGATAAACTGGTTCATGATTTGGGGTTCGATTGTGCCGGGCTGGCAGATGATGAGGGATTTGAGTTCACTAAGGATTTCAAGAGCGTGCAAACTGCCTGCCTTAATTTTGGGAAAGACCGTTTCGATATACTAAGGTCTGTTTATCCATCTATCGCTTTCTGGATAGCAAGGAAAAAGGGGTTATGTTTTGGTGGTTTAACACTTCGTTGAAATCAAAGGAGCCACTTGATTCGGTCTGGCTTGTGATCTTTTGGGGTGACACTGTTCTTGCATTTATACGTTTCTTGTATTTTTACTGACGTGTTTTTTGTGAAGTGATCTCTGAGTTGCCGAAACGTGTGAGCCGGTATTGAGGGCAAAAAATGTGTAGTTGAACAGTGAGAGAATAATGTTAAAACCGAAAATGCATTATTTTTTAATCTATGAGGATGTTGTTGACTTGATGATAACTTCTAAAGTGCTACTCTGTATCACAATCACTGAATTACAAGAGATTGATTCCAGGTCCTTGTCGAGGCAGGATATTCAAATTCTGGTTGGTCTCGGATGCCCGACTGCAGACAAAAAAGTGGTTTTCTCTGCTAAACTTCTGAGGAAGCATGTCCACCTCGATGAAGGAGATGTAAGCATAGAACCTTTAGTTTGGTTTTTAAGACAATGTCACGTTATGCTTGACCTCTGCAGTCCCGCAACTTTTAACTTTGCAGTTGCTTCTTGATTCATTGCTTATCCATTTGCCACCGTGAGTTTTGACAACATCATTGTCTGATTGTACGCTCCCATACCGCATGTATACAAGCAAGACAAGACAAGTAAGAGAAAGGGGATGTTGTTTGATCTTGAAGGCTATTATATTCACAAAAATGAGTGCGCGCGCACACAAATATATATATATATATATATATATAGGGGTGGTGGGGTGGGGGATGATTATAAAGATGGAATGTGGACCTCACACACTGTCATATATTTTTGTATTACTCTCTCTTTCTGCAGGCATGAATGTAGATCCAGTATGCATTCTCCAAAACCTAGTTTATGTTATTCATAGTTTTAACGAATTTCATTTTGTATGTTTATGATGGATAATTCATTCTTATCAGGTCTGTAGTTCCTGCAGTTTGAGAAACTCTTGTGAAAGGGCATATCTGCTTACAAATAAAGAGGATGAGGCACGAACTGTTGATGTCATGCGGGTCTTATTGACGTTTGGCTTTGATCCTGTGAATGGATCATCCACCACTAAGTCACTTCTAAAGCAAAAGTCTGTGAAAACTGTGGTTCGTAAGTTGCTTCATGAGGTTGTTAAGTTGAGTTCAGTTCCTATAGATCCTAATCTACCCCCTCCTGTCATAAAAAAGCCGCCGCCAAAAGTGAAGCAACCTCCTCCTCCTCCAAGGAAACGTGTTGGACGGGATGATGTTGAGATGAAAAAAGGAGACTGGCTTTGTCCAAAGTATGTTCTTTAAAACTTCTCCTGACTTTCTTGCAGTAATAAATACATGATAGTATTACCATATAGCTGCATGTCATTTTGATGAGAAGAGGACTGGGCCTCAGTTGATTTATGTTAAAAGAAAACCCAAGGGCAATTGAGGGATTGTATGGGTGACGGTTAGAGGAGAGAGACGGGGAAATATTGTTATATAGGGGAGTCTGTTATGGGAGGGGGGCATGCATGTTGGGAGGGAGCTTGGGAGAGGTCTGTGTCTCTCGAATACACAGAGACCAGTGGCTGTAATCGTTTCTGCGTGTTTTCATTTTTCCCTTTAGGTCCATACCCTGAGGGCGAACCCTTCTTTTCTCTTCAGTTGGCATTAATACAGACTGAGTTCCATCACATTTCCATTGAAGAATTTGTTATTATCATTGTTATTTTTTTGGTATTTCTGTGAACCTTTAATCTTGTTCTGGGCATGCTTGCTTCTGTGTATCGCGTTATGGTACAAAGTCATGTGAGGATGGTCTATATTATTGAATAGGAAATAATTGTGTGAATAATGTCTCTGTACGTAGTGCGCACAATCATTGGGATGTGATTAGCATTATCATTAGTGTAGGATTACCCTAATTTCACTCGTCTTGGACGTAAGTAGGGGCATTGTCTTGTATAATAAGTCAAATATTCAATAGTTGATATGCCCTTTTGTTGAGTTAATATGATTATTGACTTTTTTTCAGGTGTGATTTCATGAATTTTGCAAAGAATACTGTTTGCTTACAGTGCGATGCCAAACGTCCAAAAAGACAGTTGCTGCCAGGAGAATGGGAATGTCCTGAGTAAGTGTTAAGTCCACTATTTCTAAAATAAAGGCTTCGTCCCCTCTTTTAAACTCCTCTCCCCTCCTCTTCCCCTTCCTCTCTGTCACTTCCCCAATCCCACATGCACAAGGCGTGGACTAAGAAATAATGAATGCATTTATTTTCTATGAAGTTGATCACCTCATTGTGAAGCTACCTTTTGTATGATTAAGCGTTATTATCCAGTGATATAATTTTATCGTGTTCACCTATTAGGTTGTAATGTTTACACAATTACTGCAGTGATGCTGGTCCTATGTTAACTTCCTGATAAATGTGATTATCATTAATGCTACCAATGCACTGGTCCTTCTTAGTGCGCCCATTGTTTACCTTCAACGAAATTGCTTATTTACTATTGTTGAATCCCATGGGATGGAATTCCTAGTTCCTTATATTTACTTTTTGTCCATTCTCAAGTCATTCACGTCCAACTTTGGAACTGCCAACTCTTAGCACATTTGGAATTAAAGTGGAATCCCTTGAAACAGTTGTTTATATCCTCTCCAAGCATCTTTTACTGAAATATTTTGATAATTACTTGCGTTTTTTTTTTCTCTCTGGCAGGTGCAACTTCTTGAATTACAGGAGGAACACGGTATGCTTTCATTGTGAGTGTAAACGCCCGCCTGATGAATTTCTGGAGAACAGCATTCAAGACAAACAGCGTACTTCCAAACCAAGGGGGGATAAGATGTCGTGCAGGCAAGAGGTTTCCAATGCTTGGAATTTTGATTTTGATGATGCTGAATCGGATGGTGCAGATGTTGCAGCTTTTGAGTATGCAGATGCTCATGCAATAGATGAAGATTTCCCTGCAGATGCCCAGGCTCAGCATGAAAATTTTGGACGGTGGGAAGGTGAATTTGAGAAAACTGATAGAGCGCAAGGATCCCGTGATGGAGAATATTCTAATCCCAGTCCTAATAGGCCTGGACTAGGGTTTGATGATTTTGAGGATGAAGATGATATAGATAGTTATGAACTAGAGGCACACAATAATAGTGCTAGAGCGAAAGCTTCTGAAAGTGATTTTTCTGAATTTGAGGACTCTTTAGATGAACCGCGGTCCATTCATTCTAATTTCAAGTCTGGTCGTTTTGCTGGTCCTGAACGGAAAGGCAAAGACAGGGTTCCAACCAAGAAATTAAGCTTTGGTTCTGATGATGATCTCGATTTTGATTTGGAAGAACAACGGTCCATTCATTCAAAATTTAAGTCTAGCCGTGTTTCTGGGGCTGCACGAAAAGGCAAGGGCAAAGGCCCAACCAAGAAATTAAGCTTTGGTTCTGATTCTGATGAAGACTTTGCAGGTGGCCTCTACTCTGATGAGGATGAAGATTCAAACAAGAGGCATACTTCAAGACGAAACAATGGCAACAAGCATGCTTCAGGAAGGAGAGACTTCAAGAGAGACCGGCAGCTTAGATCCAATGGTACCCGCCGAGCAAACGTGTTCAGTGCTGACTTCGATGGATCATCTCGGCAGTCTTTTGGTAAAGGAAGAGACTCTACAAGAAATGGCCGTAATTGGCGGATGTTCGAAGGGAGGGAGCGAGGCACGCGATCACGCAGAGAACAATCTGAAAAACAAGGAGGACAGTTTAACAAATATCGTATGGATCAGAAGGATTTGGGTGAATTTAGAAATAGCCGACGTGTGATTGAGCGATAGAAGCAAGTTTCCATTAGGGTGGTATTATACTCTAATCCTAGTATTTTCCCCCCCAATGCTCGGGTACATAAAAAGAAAATTGTTGCAATAAGACATGAACAAAATTATTTAAAGAATTTGAATTTCATGGAAATGTCCGGGGAGGCCTTAACCGAAGAAAATATTTGCTTTCTAGCTCACCTGTCGTGAACGATGTGGGATAACATTAATGTTATTTTCCGTATTTTATCTAATTTTTTTAAACTTGCTCTTGTTACGTCAAAATCTTTGATTAGCTTTTTTTTGAGGTAAAGTATATTGTTGGGTCATTTAACTTTATTTAATTTTATATAGTCCCTTAATTTTAAAAAATATATATTTTTAGTTCTTTAATTATAAAATAATTAATAAAAAATGATACTCTTCCGGTCCTTAATATAAGACCCAATTGTTAAGTTGGTTTTGGTCTTAAATATAAGATCCATTTATCATATTTATCAATTTTTTCTAAATTACCCCTATGGATACTCTATCAACCATAATCAAGTAGAAGATAGAGAGGGGTATTAAGAAAGATGATTATGGTATTTTAGAAAAAACATGTCACAATTTTTATAATTAACTAACTTACCTAACTTCCTTAATCTAATCAAATTAGTTAAATGGGTCCTATATTAAGGATCGGAGGAATATTAAAATTTTGAATGTTGATAAAATATCATTAAATGTTAAAATATCAAGTTTAATTTTCAAAACAATAATGATTCTAACAAAAAATATCACTTAAGATGAACAATTTTAAGGTTAAAATATTAAAAATATAATTTTTAGATTAAGGAATTAAATTAAAATTTTGTATAAAGTTAAATGATTGAATGTATAATTTTTGTCTTTTTTATTATTCAAATACTTTAGTATGATTATATTTTTGTTGACGTTGTTTTGTGCATAATGATTTTATTTTATTATTTATATCATTTTCAATATTAATTATTTTTTTTCCTAAAGCATAGGTATTCTCTTATTGGAAGTAATCCTATTCAAGGCATTATTTGACACTAAATGTGGGCACTTCTCCCGATAGGAATTCAGACTTTGATTCGTCACATTAGGAGGGATTAGCCTTCAGTTAGACTCAATCCCTATTGATTACTTGCTTGGAAGCATGTACTAAAAATTGGATTGGATCTGTTGGTCCAGTCTAAAGATATGTGATCCGGTTGAAATATTTTTTCCCAGAAATATTTTCCTATATATCCCCTTAATCAGTGCCTGTCACTGTATCTTTTTTTTTTTTTAAATGGAATTCATTTTATCTTTTTAAGCTAAGAGTAATACACATCCATTAATGAGCATCGAGAGAGAGAGAGAGAGAGTGATGGGTAAATGAAAATGAAGTATATATTATAAAATAATATATTACAAAATAAGTCTATGGTTATCTTACCTCCATGATAAATGTATCTTATTTTTCTATACTTATAAAATGTTTTGAAATTACATTGCCAGCAAAAAAAAAAGAGAACTGTATGCATGTTTCTCAGACATTTCTCTACCTTTTTTTTCTCACTGCCGTTTGTTTATTTGAAATTAATTTATTATTATTGTTATTGTTATTGTTATTGTTTTGTATCTTTTTTTGGTAAGGATATTGTTTTATATTTTTGTTGCTCAAAATAGTTAGTTTTAGTTAAAAAGTACTATTTTTAATTTTAATATAAGAACTTATTTAATTTTTATTTTAGTCATACATACAAGACCCCAATCCACTTTATTTTTTATATTTATTTATTTACTTTAAAGTAATCTTTGTAATAATAGTAATTCTAGCCAATATACTTGATTAACAAGGACATTTTAAGAGAAACAACACATATTTATTACAAATAATTAACTTAATTAATTATTTTAATTTATTTAAATTAATTAACTAACTTTTATATTAAGAAAAAAAGTTAGTATATATTTAGCCATAACTAGTTTGATCAGAATCTATGACAATCTCTGGTTAAAAAAAAAAAAAAATCTCACGACAGTCATAAACTGAAGCATGACCGGTCTGATGATTAGTTTTGTTTTTTTTTTTCTTTTTGGCTTTAAATACATTGAATTATATACAATATCTGTTGGTACTCCCTACAATCGTTTTTTTATAAAATCTTTTTAATTAAATTATGCAGTTTTAAAAAAGCTAAAGTAAGTTAAAATAATTATGTAAAAATTGAATTTCTTTAAAATATGTCTTTATTTAAGAGAAGAACAAATAAGGGAGAGAAATATTAATGCTCCCTTTTATTTATAATATTAGTCATTTTAATTAATTTATTATGATCAAAAAATGGTATTTAAGTCATTATCTGTCTCAAATTGATTTTTCTCAACTTTACCCATATTAAATAAGGTTATGAATGAGAGAAAAAAATACAATGAGTTATATTTAAGCATTAATTATAGAGATATAATTAATAAATAAGTATTAATTACTTTTCAAGTAACTCAATTTTAGACAATGCTATTATTCTAGAAGCAACTTATATTATGAACTAAAGAGATTAATGCGCAAAATGATAAAAAAAAAGAGAAAATATAATAGAAATTTAATTATAAATAACATTAGTAAAAATATATTTAATGTTCGATAATCCTAAATATGATCTTATAAAAAGAATCAAGCTAATTCAAATTCAAATCATCTCATAAAAAAAAGAGAGGGAATATATGTTAAAATTATGTCTCTGTGCCGACTAGTAATAATATCGTGCTTCCATGTGAATTTAATACGGTATTGCCATTTGAGGGATCATCTTATGTCAACCCAAAATAACGACTAATATAAGAGAATATTTCTCCTTTGCTTTGTGTAAATTTAAGATTTTTTTTGTCATTTTTTTTCTAATAAGATTTTTTGACAATTCTTTTATTTTTTTGCTAACTTTCACAAGTCTTTTGTTATAGATGTGTACTCATCAAACTGTTATTTTTACATGGTCTCTAATATAACCTACTCATCAGTATAAAATTGGTAGGATGAAATGTCGGAACATCCATTTCACTCTGAATTATGTTTTTTACTATAAAATTAATCTAATTAATCACTTATCACTCAATCAGTCACTTTTTTTTTGGTTATGTAAATGCAAAATTTTAAATTTCTCGGGGCTTGTTTCATAATTCGCAAAACTCTGGGAGACAAGCAAGAGATCTTCTAAAATTTTGAACATAATCTCGTGTGGTCAAGCGTTCAATTTCCGCATAGCGTCTATGACCTTTGCCGCTCACATCACTTACGAAAACACGTGGAGGGTGGATGATAACCTGATACAAATCGTATTCTCCCTCCTCGACGGTCTTCGTCCTCCCCTAGACTGTTAAAAGAAGCACAAATAGTATTTCATTGGCCTGTAGGCCTTTTTATTCAAGTTTCGCGGCAAGACCCCCTTTCTTTTTATATTTCTTTTTAATTTTTCCTCTCTCCCCCTACCGCTGTCTCTCTCAGAATTCTTTCTCCCACTCTTCTCTCCGGTTTCTACCTTGCTTCAGCGGGATTCGGATAGACCCGATAAACGGTAACACCCCCATAACTCGTTTCACTTCCCGATCTGTAATTTAGGGTTTGAATGTGAAGCAAGAGGACTTTATGTGACCTATGAAAAATTATTGAATTAGACGAAATCAGTCCTTTTTATTGTCTATGGGTAGGTTTTGTTATCTTGTTATTGCTTTTATAAATTCAAAACCTGTTTGGTACCCAATGTTGTCACCAGACTGATGTCATAATTTGCCTACTGTACTCGAATCTGCGTTTTCTTCCCTTTAACCTTTTTTTGGGGTTGGAGGCGGCTTGAAGGGCCTAGTTACTATATATTATTTGATGATGTGAAGCTCGAAGTGAATTGCAAAATATGGTGTGCTACTGAGAACTTTTGCTGGTACGGCGAAGAGCTTGATTGCTGATTGGCTGTATTTATCTCTCGGTATTTAGAATCTTCTGCTTATCTATTCATTCGAACTGACTGTACTGCCTTACAAGGTACCGGTTTTGTTTGTACTTTCCTCTGGTGCGTGGTGGCGCCCCGCCTCTGGGGCTGCTGGGTATCCGCCCTGTTTGGCCATGTTTTCTAGATTTGATTTATTCTGAGCTGGTGTCGAAACTTGAAATCAAAGAAACTTCATGCATGGACCTCATCGGTTGTGCGGTTATTATATGTCTATTTTATTTTTCTTGGACAAATTCACATTTTTATTTGTAGGGAAAAAAGATCACAGTAAGATAAACTGTTACCGTATGAATAATATTTCTATTGTTAAGAAATCCCACTTCCAGATGTGGGCACACCACATGAAATAGAATGCCTGCTATTATGCACTGAAACCTCTGTCCCATAATGATTTGCGTTCATATGATTCTAGAACATGCTTTATTTTTCACCGTTCAGATATTTATTCAAGTTATATATCATGTTGGAATACTATGAGGCCAGCAATGTAACATTGATGATAATACTTCTGAAGTTGTGGAGGAAATGAGAAGAAGGTTGAGGATCTTGTACTGACCCTAGTGCCAATGTTCATTGAAACATTTCCAGGAGGAAAATTTTGTGCTAATCCTCTAATATACACTGTTGATGAGTTTGCCATGAGTTATGAATGATGTCTCTGACTTTTTTTTTTTCCTGGTTCAAGTAAATAAAGGATTGATGGCACCTACAAGGAAATCAAGAAGTGTGAATAAACGATTTTCAGGTTTAAATGAGGCCTCTCCTGATAAGGATGGAGTCAACTCAAATAAAAATAAGCATCGGGTATGTCATGGTTTGGTAGCATTCCTGTTTTGAGGCTAGAGAAGGAAGAAGGCAGCAGCAGATATAGTTCTCTGACCTTCTTGATGATTTACTATGTCAGAACGGCTATAACTGATAGAATGGCAATTCTTGGTTTTTTACTTAAAAGAATAAAAGAACTATCATTTGATAAAGAAGTAAAAGTTAAAGTCACACACATATAACTTATTAATTTTGCATGCTCTGAATGTTTCCTTTGTGCAGAAGAAAAAGTTGTCTGACAAATTGGGATCTCAATGGAGCAAGGAGGAACTAGAGCGTTTTTATGAAGCATACAGGAAGCATGGAAAAGATTGGAAAAAGGCGTGCCTTTACTTCTATTACTTTTTCTCTTATTTTCGTAGCAATTATTTTTATTCTGTTCTTATTGGTTTATTTAATTTCTATCCCTGGAAGCTCAGACTATTATGATTTCCTTCTTTTCTCTGCCCCTCTCCTTTCTTATCAAAGTGGATAAGTTATTAAGTTATTGATACCTAACCATGGTTGTCATTTCATCATCTTGTAATGATTAGGCCCTCAAGCAACATGTTTTTCTCTTTAAGTCTCAATAATTTTGAATATTTCAGTCTATCATTAATTACAAGTTTTTCAGTTCTAGCTATCATGAAATGGCTTATCAATGTTGTGTGGTTCATTTGTTTCAAGTGTAATTTAACTGCACTTTCTCTACTTGAATGCCTTCAATTTGCAGGCGTATTTATCTCTTCCAGAGGGGACAGCTTCTGTTGTTGGTCTCATAGCAATGATGACTGATCATTATAATGTGCTGGTATGGTCCAAGTGTCCAGATTTTGATGCGCCTGTATTGGTTTTGCTCTCAGCTGCATTCACAATTGTACTATGATGCTAATTTCCTTCATTATTTACTCTCAATTGGTTGTTTATTCCTGTTCAAAGATGATGTTTGAAGATGGGTCTTTCTTTGTGGTGGGGTAGGGGGCATCTGGCCAGTAGGAGCTGAAAGTAGTTACTGTTGTGGAGGATGGGTGAAACTTAAGGTAGGTGGGAACCATTCAAAAGTAGGCTCCTGAGGTGGACTGTGCTACTCAGTTTGGGATTTAGGCATTCTATGCTACCTCATGGATCCTTTATGAAAATTGTTATTTTTGGCTTCCAAAAAAGAAGCTACCTGAAAGTAAATGAAAAAATCTGTTGTAATTATTGAGTTTTTGTTTTTGTTTTTTTGGGGGGGGGGGTTACCTGTATGATAGCTCAATTATCATTGCAGTTTTTTTCCTTCTGAATTTGGTTTCGATTTGTTATTTTTCCCTCATAATTTGAGTATGTGTTATGAATTGCATGTTTATTTTGTCCAAATCTGAATCGCATATTTGCCCACTGACAATTGACAGGAAGGGAGTGATAGTGATAAGGAGAGTAGTGATGCACCAGAATCTCAAAAACCTTTGAAACGGAAGCGTGGGAAAGTTCAGCTTAGTTTTTCTAAAGATTCTGTTCAAAGTCATTCAGTTGCTTCTAATGATGGTTGTCTCTCTTTGTTGAAGAAAAGACACTTTGATGGTAATTACTTTTGCAGTGTCTCAAAAGATCCTGTTTGTGATAGAATGTAGTTGACAGGAAGACGTGCTGAATCAGTGAATCCTACCCCCTCAGCCCCTCCTTTCCCCCTGGAAAGAGCAAACGGAAACTTTTACAAAAGATATTTTTCACTCTGGATTTTGTTCTAGAATTTCAGAGCTCATAGCACTAACCATATTTTAAATTGAATCTTCAAGTTTAGTTTGTAATCATGCAACGCAGTGATTCAGGTTACTGAAATTTGATGTAATCAAGGGGTCTTATTTTCATTGGAATTATCATGACGTGACTTTGAGCAAGATTGTGATATCACTAATGTCAAGAGATTTTACTATGGAGAAATTAATCATACACCAACTTCTGGAGGTAGGTAGAGGGTTTTCATGTATCATTTGGCATTGGCAGGTTCCATGTCCACTATGAAAGTCCCAGTGATTAAAAATGAATAGTGGCATAGAGATTCAACAAAATTTTTCATTGACCATTAAAGGCCTTAACACAGCCCTCTTCCTGAACCCTTGTCCTTCCACTCAATGTTAACTAGCACATGCAACTTGAAAACTTCCGCTCATCTTGATTAAACCATGAAATTTGAGGAGTAATGTAAATTTCATCAAAGCGTTGTTGCTTGTTTACTTGGATCTTTTTTTTGTTTATATTATGACAATTTGCAATAGATTGCTTTGCTGATGGTTGTTAATTAATTAGGTAGCCAGCCTCGTGCAGTTGGAAAACGAACGCCTCGCATACCGATTTCCCACTCTCATAAAAAATTCAATCGGGAAAATTTTGTTTCACCAATTAAAAGAAGCCTGAAATCAGAGAGTAATGCTAATGATGATGAAGTTGCTCATGTTGCAGCACTGGCTTTAACCGAGGCTGCACAAAGAGGAGGCTCTCCTCATATTTCTCAAACTCAATACAGAAGAGCAGAGCAGAAATCCTCTCCTGTTCAAAGCTGGGAAAGAATGGTATTAGAATGTTCACATCATTTTCTGCCATCAACTTGTTCACATTAACAAGATCACCACTTGAAGAGTTAGTTGTGTTCTGAATTTCTAGCATGGCATATAATTAAAATCTCATGCCAACCTTTGTGATTGACTTGCTTGTGTCTGATAAGCCGTCATTTTAAAGGTTTGAATATGCTATTTTCTAACTTGTAAACTTGCACCAGCAGTCAAAGACAGCTCGTCCCAAGTTTCACGAGGCTTCTGCGGATGAAGAGTGCCCGGAAGGTAGCGTAGAGAGCGGAGAGGCTGAAAATGGAGAATATGCTAGAGATACTAGTCCATTGACGAACATGGAAGGCATTGGCACAGTTGAAGTACATCAGAAGGGGAAGAAAACATACAGAAAGAAAGAGAAAGCAGAAAATGTTCGAAACTATCAGTTTGATGATGGTGGAGAAGCATGTAGTGGCACTGAAGAAGGACTTTATTTTAATTCTTTGAAGGAAAAGGTTGATAGTGAGGTTACTAATGCCAAACCCGAGCGATTCTCTCCTAAAGGTCAGAGGAAACGAAGCAAAAAACTTTTCTTTGGAGGTAACTCTATTGCTGCGTAACTCTCTGCAAATTACGTCTTTCTGTTCCTTTTCCTCCTGTGGCTTGGGCGGGGTGAATGTTTGGACCATTGTGCTCCCCCCCCCCCCCCCCAAAAAAAAAAAAATTAGAAAGGCAAACACTAACAGCCTGAGGTTACAATCAAGGATAAATCTGTGATCTCCCACTTACAAGGGAGTTTTCATGTCACTAGACTATAGATAAAAGCTTCTTACTGGGTTACAATTTATTTTATCTACTTCCTTTCTCTTATCTGTGACAGTTTTAATTTTTTTATCCTATAGATGAAAGCTCTGCCTTGGATGCTTTACAAACTTTGGCTGATCTGTCTTTAATGATGCCTGGCTCTGCAATGGATTCTGGTAAGAGCTTGGTCATTGATGATTTGCATCAGCGCATGAGACATGTAGATGCACACATACCTATGAACGAGTAGAGAGAGTGCTATGAAGTCACAGTAAAATAGGAAGAATTTATTCTTCAGTTTTGAACCTCATCTGATTCAACACAAATTGCAGTTCTCTATTTAACTTAGATTGATTTGATTTGGTTTAGTTTATGTAATAAGCCTATCTGCATGAGTCATTGTTATAGAGAGCCACTTTCCAATCTTTCCGATCCCTTTGTATATCTGTAGGAGAACCTCCCTTTAAGATACTGCTGAGCACCAAAGGGAGACCAAAAGCAAATTTCTGTTTCCATCAGCAGCCACCAAAAAGCGGCATAGAATGATCGTTGCCATTATTTTTGTTGTAGCTTCAAATAGTCAAAAGTTAGTCATAAAATAATATTCCAAATTCTGAGGATACATGCAATATTCAGTCAAAGTTCCGAATTATGTACTCCAAATGGATGTCATTTCTGGTAATGCAAAAATAAATGGCTTGCTATTTCTGAATCATCACATACATTGAGATCATATTCTACCTAAATCCTTAAACCTAAACTCATCTTCTAGTTAGTTAGGCCAACAGAAAAAACCTAATATTGTTGCTTCTATAGTTGCTATGATTGGGGTTTTACAAGAATTTTTCTTTCCATTTGATTTAAATTCATTCATATTCTCTCATTCTTCATTGCCCCATCAGAGTCATCGGTCCAGTTGAAGGAGGAAAGAATGACTGTTGATAAAGATGATAAGACTGCTTTGCCTGAAACTACGTTTACTAGCCAAAACAGAGACAAACTTAAACTCCCAGGTCCAAAACAAAAGGTTTTTCATGCAGTTCCTGGAGTTGATGCTTCAACGATGAGAAAATCTAAACTTGGCCGGGAGTTAGAAAATGAAACGAATGCTTCAGCTGAATCAAAAGAACTTATAACTCCTGATAAGACATGGAAAAGAAAACGCAAGTCTGTGGTCTCTAAGGTAAGCATGTTTCTTATTATTTTAAACACAATGTAGTGGCTAGTTCATTGCTAGGCTACAGAGAAAGGAGAGTTTATTGTGTTTGGTTATAATATAGTGTCGAACTTGTTATGCTTATATTGTACTTGGTAATCGCGCATTCATTATCCATCCAATTCTTCAATATATAATATCTACTATTTATGCATTAAATAAATGGAGAGCTACTCCTTTGTGGTTAGATATCAAATACAAATTTGGATTCTCATCCCAAGTTATACCTTGAATAATGAGGTATGTGAGTCATTAGATAATGAACATCAAATTATATCTCTAGAACGACATGCAAGTGCTATTGTTTTGAGACGGCTATTTTGCCCTGAAGATTTTTGTTCTATTATCTAAGAACTCTTTTGGTTTAAGTGAAAACAAGATATGTCGGATAGTATATATCATTGATTAACAGTAAGTATCATTTTTTGTTGCTATTTTCATTCAGATGTATGAAAGACATTTTGCATTGACAAAATCACTCTTAGTTCATTTAATTCCATTATGTTTACTAAATGGCCTTTAGGACTTTGACAATTGGGCAAAAGGGTGGTACTAGAATTAGTGCAGGCTAGTATATTTCTTCCTAATTCAAAAGGTGTGTTGACTTGCAATTGTTAGAATAGTTAGATGTGATTTGGTGCTTGTTAGCCACCTATATGGGAAGGGAGCAAATGCTCACAAACACGTACACGTGAGGAATGCTTTATATCAATCAATATAAAATATGACAATTTATAACAAGCTTCACAGCAGCTTATTTTTTAGGCCCTGGGCAATACATGGGATTATGTGTCTAGGTTTTGACATTTTCTTAGTACGAGAGATTAGAACTCCTAAAGGGGTTAGGACTGATGTTTCATATTAAAATTTTAAAGCACTCAAGTTTTCACTTGATTTTTAAAAATGTTCCTACAAGTTCTGATTCTTACCATCAGCGCTCAATCTGTATGGATGTTATAAGAACTTATTTCTGTCATAGTAGATCACCATCCTTGTCTGATGCACTCTCTATGTCTATATTGGTCCAGAGGCACAAAAATATCATTATAACTTTATCAGTAAATAATAGAATATGTATATATGTAATGACAATAATATAAGGCTAGATATCTGTCCTTTCTGGGGACATATCATAATGTGTATCTGAAGGAAATGAAGAAAAGCTTATCATCTTTAAAAGAGGCTTCTCAATTATTTATCATGTACTCATTAAAGATGGGGGGTGTGCCTTGTAGGCTGTATCTGATGAAGAGAACAAACCAATGGTTAAAGGAAAACAGAGTGGTCAGGTTTTTGCGCTCCCAAAACAATTGAAACCAGTCAGATCATCGGAGAGCTCCTTGTGCAGTGATCCAAAAGATTTAACAGTATCAACTGCAGAAATTCCACTAGCAAGTGAAGTTAGTTTACCAAATAAAAAAAGTAGGCGTAAGATGACTCTACAGAAGACATTCAATATGAAAGAGAAATCTTCTGAGAACATATTGAAAAAACAACCTAGTAAGTACTCTTCCAACCTTCAAGACAGGGCTCCATATTTAAAGGTAAAAGCTTTTATGTTAATTTAAGTGGACTATGCTCCCTGTAGCTTAAAGTCATGCTTTGTTCTTTTTATGACTAATAGTATAATTTTCAGGAAAAGCTTTCTGGCTGCTTGTCATCGTATACGGTTCGCAGGTGGTGTACTTTTGAGTGGTTTTATAGTGCAATTGATTATCCGTGGTTTGCCAAAAGGGAATTCATGGAGTACTTAAACCATGTTGGATTAGGGAATATCCCAAGGCTAACTCGTGTTGAGTGGAGTGTTATAAAAAGGTGTGAAATTTAGTTTTGATTACCCTGATTTATCACTATTTCTTGTAGACTTTTACATACGTACATACAGCACTGGACATATCTGACATCAATTTTGCTTGTTTCTGCAGTTCCCTGGGGAAACCTCGCAGGTTCTCTGAGCACTTTCTTCATGAAGAAAGACAAAAACTCAAACAGTATAGGGAATCTGTGAGGAAACATTACACTGAACTCCGCACTGGTATCAGGGATGGACTCCCAACAGATCTAGCGAGACCTTTATCTGTTGGACAACGAGTAATTGCTATTCACCCCAAATCAAGAGAGGTTCATGATGGGAGTGTGCTTACTGTTGACCATGACAAATGCAGGGTTCAATTTGACCGTCCTGAATTAGGGGTTGAATTTGTCATGGTAATATCATCTCTTATTATCATGCCATTTTCATTGAAAAAATTGTGGACATTCATGAGTATGTAGTTTTAATCTAAGATGAAAAATCTGTGAAATCAGAAAATAAGACGTACTTCTTTTCTCTTTTCTGATGAATGTTATTTATGGTGCAGGATATTGATTGCATGCCTGTGAATCCCGTGGATAATATGCCAGAAGCTCTGAGAAGACAAATTGGTGCTGGCAAAGTTTCTCATATGGGCAAACCGCTACAGATAAATGAAATTTCTAATTTTGAGGGTGGGGTAATAGGCGGTTCATGTGGACCCCTGGAGAAGCCACCCGCCTCTTCAAGTACTTTGGTAAAGGCGGGAAAGGTTAGATATATGAAATCTCAGAATTCTGTATTTAACTATACACCATGCTTCAAATCCTTTCGCATTGCATCCTTCCTTGAAAGAAGTTTTTGTTACTTAATGTATGAGTGCGTGTACTCTGCTTGTATTGATTTCTCATCACTTTCACGACTTAGGTGCAATTAAATGCCAATGGAGGGGTCTTCCATTAAGTCAGAATTTTTCCTTTCCTTTCCCAGGTCTTATAAGTTATAGGTGCTAGAGGATTGGTTTTCTTGCCTAAAGTTATAGGTGCTAGAGGATTGGTTTTCTTGCCTAATATTTTTGTTTCCGTTCATCATGAGATATTGAGACCACTATTACAAAGTTTGAACTTTGATGAATCTGCCTCCATCTAATGAAAATGTTTCGCACTGCTTTAATTCACTGGTGAATTGTTTGGCCCATTTTTCTCTTATCCTTAAGCTCGGCTATAGTAATACCCTAAACTACTTGTGGTAGTCCTGTTTAATTTTCTGTGCTTCACTCGTATAGGTTAGCTGTTTGGGTCTCCACAGCTACAGGCTAATTGTTGATGTTGATATTCTAATTTTAAAATTAGATAATTTATTTTCCCTAAAACCTTGCAGGAGGATGTTAATCATGTTGCCCAAGCAAAGGTTGGAACCATTGATAATGTTGATACACTACAGGAAGCATATGCTCAGCCTTGTACATTCACACATCATCAAGCCAGAGAAGCTGATATACGTGCCCTTTCTGAACTGACTCGTGCTCTAGATAAAAAGGTTTGTATGAACATGAACAGATGTTTTTTGCAGTTCATTTGGAAACTGTTATATGTTTCCAGTCTTATGCCCTATTCGTTTAGGTGCTTTGTCAGTGTTTAGGTGGATTGACTTAGCTTAGTTATTTGATTTTTGCTGATTTTTGTTTGGTGGGGTGGGTTGGGTGTTACAGGAAAAATTGTTAATGGAGCTTAGAAATGCAAATAATGACATATTGGAAAACCAAAATGACGTAGACTACTTTAAAGATTCAGAGTCTTTCAAGAAGCATTACGCCACGGTACTTGTACAGCTAAAGGAAGCCAGTGGGCAGGCATGTGGCTTCCGTGAATTATTATTTCTTTCAATACAAACATTCTTACTTGGGCCTCGAAATATCAATTGGTTGGTCATTTTATTTTCAGGTTTCTTCTGCTCTTCTTAACTTGAGGCAACGAAATACATACACTGGAAACTCTCCATTACCTTGGGTGAAGACCCCTGCAAGTTTCAATGTTCAAGATGATCTTCCATGTGCATTAGATAGTTCTCTAACGCAAGAGTTAGCATCAGGCGTTATTGAAATTATCAAAGGATCCAGGCTAAGAGCACATGCCATGGTAGATGCTGCAATTCAGGTTGGTGGACTTGCCTATTCTCTCATGGTCATTATAAATTATATGTAAAATGATTTTGAACACTCATATTTTCGCTGCCTACTTTGGCAATATAAGACCAGAGGCTTAGCATTTCTCTGTCTTTACAATTTATTCTTACTTTTTCTTTTTATCCATAATTGATTTGTTTTAAACACTTTGTCTTAACCTCAATCCAAAGAAGATGTGATATTGCAGGGCTGAGTAAGTGCAATTGAATTGAAATTTGAAACATTGTCCAAGGACAATCTCTTGAAAAGCTCTCTCTAACTTAAATTTCTTGATGCTTCAGACATTGTCTTCGACTAAAGAAGGTGATGATGCTTTCATGAGGATAGGGCAAGCGTTGGATTCCATTGATTATCAACAATTGGCCTCCAACTCTAAAGTGAATGGCAGTTTTGGTCTCCATGATCAGTCGATTTGCTGTGCGTCAGAAACTCTGCATAGTGATACATCAGGTCCGAAATTGCTGAATGATTCCCACAAAGTTGATACTCAAGTTCCTTCCGAGCTCATTACATCATGCGTTGCTACTTTGATCATGATTCAGGTAATTAAATACCAGCATAAGAAGTAACCCAAAAAAAAAAATGCAGCACTGCGGTTCTTTCTAATCCTGAATATTTCTATTTAACAGACTTGTACTGAACGGCAATACCCACCAGCTGATGTTGCTCAGATATTAGATTCAGCCGTGAACAGCCTGCATCCCTGCTGTCCTCAAAACCTTCCTATATACAGGGAAATTAAGATGTGCATGGGACGAATTAAGACCCAGATTTTAGCTCTTATCCCGACTTGATTTGTATCCTCTCTTGTATTGTTAATTTGTTGTACATATGATGCTGGAAAATTCAATTGAGTTCGTCGTCCCCCTGTAATATTATGTTCATTTCATGTCAGCAAGCTTCGTTGCTAGTTAGTATTAGTGATAATATATTTCACCACCCTCGTCTACATTTCTTATAATAAATTTGCGCTTGGGTGGTGGATCAAGCTTTGATGCGTAACTGAGGGTTCGAAGTTAACAGTCTTGATGCTGTTTGTTTGCATCTGCTGTTTCATTTAGATTAGTTTCCAATGAACATGCTTCCCAATGCAATTTTCTACAACATTGTAATTTTAAGAAATTATCCAGTTGATTGCATTTCGATGTTTAAACTGCATGTGCATTTCTCTTATTTTCAACGTCTGACATATGTTTAACAGTGTGAGCAAACAGCAAGTGATCGCCTTTGTGACAGTGGAATTCGAGGCTCCCAAGTCAAATCACGACCCATTCTTAACTAATTTTAGCCACATTTTTTTATCATCTTATTATGAACTGGTATTAAAGAAACTAACTCGTTAATATTGACTTAAAGCATCCTTATATAAATTTTCAATAAAAATATTAACGTCTTGCCCGGAAAGAGAAAAGAAGAAAACAGAGAAACGGAATGCATTAACCGCGAATTTTCCAATTAAGAAAATTAGTGCACGACTCAGTTGTTCATCCATTACGAAAATGAGTCATGGACTCGACGACAATACAGCTACCCTTCTTAGACTCAGTTGTTCATCCATTACGAAAATGAGTCATGGACTCGACGACAATACAGCTACCCTTCTTAAATGCATTTACTTTAGTAACCATATATAATAAAAATCAAGCCTGTTTCCCAAAAAAAAAGGTTGGGGTGAGGGGTGGAACCTGCTGGCACTGGTTTAACTAACTCGGATGGAAACAAATGCTGGTCCTCATCCTCTTTTTGCTTGACCACATATAATCGTCGATTTAATTCACAAGAAAAATGAAATATTATTTCGTTGCAGTCAACTTGCACGTTTGCAAGTCATGCGTTGAGAGATGCAACATAAAAGCAATACAAACCGGCCATCATGAACATTCTACAACGAACGAATGACAAGGTAGCACAGACAGCTTAATTTTTCATCCACTACTTCCCTTTATTTTTAATTCCTTTTCCTTTTTCTCCTCGAACTTGTTAGCACAGGACACAGGCATTGCAGATGTGCCGGCACAGAGGAGATAATGTTTTGGTTATGATGTGTTTAAAGGAGAAAAACGAAGCCTGATTTAGGAACTTTTTCACTTCAAACTCTATCCTAAAAACTAGAGTGGGCCTCGGCCGAGATGCCCATCCAACCAAACACTGAAAAATAAGCAGATCAGGAAGGCCAGGGCAAAGCTCGGAGACAACTTACAAAACAAGTAAGTCCTTTCCATTGCCACACAGCAGACTTTCCTTCTCTGTATATGGCAGTCCATATATCCACCAAACTATCCTAACAAGAATCTGAACACATCCCTCAACGAAATAATCCCCTCCACGCGCTTGCTGCCTGGCTCCACAACCACAAGTCTTCTAACCCCTGTGTTGTTAACATAAAATTGACGAAAACTGGTGACTGAAGATACCTTCCTTTTCTTTCCTTTGCTTCACAATATACATATATGTATGTATATTCATTTTTTTCTTCAAAAATATATGGAGAATGTAGAGAAGAAATGAAGCAAGGGGTTGTCAGTAAAGAACATACCAGGATTAGCTAACCGCTCCATCACTTTATACAATGAATCAGATCTCAAACACATATGACATCTCTGACCATTGTAAAAGCCATAAGGTGAATTTCCATCTTGTCCCAAGAGCAGTGCCTGCGACCATGAGATGCAAATCAAAATTAGGAAAGTGAAACCAAGTAAGAATTTTATTTAACTCCGCCGTTCCCTAAACTCATATATTCTTGCTAGTGTTAACATTTTCCAGAAGAGAGGCACATTAAGTGTCATTGAAATATTACCTGATGGATGCTAATTTCATCAAGCGATATCCATGCATAAGCTTTATCTTTAGCCAGTGCAGTAATATCACTGAGAAGAAAACAGGCACGTATCAAACCACTTCCAAGGTATAAAATAGAAACTTGGATCCTCATGGGCACAATGAACGAGTGTGAGATATTACCTTCTTGAATATATGTCAAGCAACGAGTCATTACCATCCACAATGGGTATTGAACTAACTTCAGCTGCAAAGGAGAGTAATTTCACATAAAAGACCAAAAGCTAGAAATAAGTCAAATGTAACTGTTATGCTCCTAACCACACCACCAATATTACATAATAAATAAATAAAATCCAAGTTCTCAAATAGTAGCAAGATGTTTAATGGAGAAAAGGACGGTTCAATTTTTCAATCCATTTCGAAATTGAAGTATGTTTTAACATACATGATGGAAAACTTGATTAAAAAAAAAAAAGAAGAGCAGCGATACAACGGATCAGTAACTACAGGCCCTCCCAAGGGTGCTGAAGACCTATGAGAAGAGAGTGGAGAAAAGATAGTGCATGGGAGCCCAGGGCAGCGTTATCTGCCTATGAGGCGTCCAGCAAGAAAGAAACAGGAACTAAAACGCTAAATATTACACGGGACAAGAGGAAGAGGAGAGTTTATGCTCTTGATGGGAAACATATGAGGAGCAGAGGAGATGGGGGTTTAGAAAGGGGGACAAGCAAGAATTCAGTATGGCTTGGAAGAAACTCTAGCCTCTCAAAGCAAGAGGAGTCTATTTTGCTATTCTTTTCTTTTCTTTCCTAAAGTTCGACAGTTATTTCTGCAAGAACTTACTATATAAGTCCCTGTTTTCAGCATGGAGTTGGAATTCAAGCATATTTTGCATAAAACAATATTAACCTAAATGTTGCTGGAACATTTAATTGCTAACAAGAAAAACCTTGATCTCTAAGCAACAGAAGAAAAATAATCACCTTGAATTAACAGAGACAGGGCAGCACCAAGAGATGCATTTGACCTAAGCATTGCAAGTGGCTGTGTATTTGATTCCCCAACTTTTGGCACCCATGTACCCATAGGTAATGAACCGATTGGCAGATGAAAAATGGGCAAGGAACTGGAGGAATGCTTAAAGTGCCTGCAAATACCTGAAAAATTAAGTTCATGCATTAGTTTTAAACCATTTTCCCAAAACAAAAAGATCTAGAAGCTTACATTTTAGGATTTCTGACAACGAAGCAAGATGTAGCAGCTGAGGAAATGAACCATCCTGTGATCCGGACTGAATAATAGGAACTGATGCCACATTGTTTTGCAAAATTTTCAAAGCCACATCTTTCAGGCACTCATGAGGGCCAGCCTGGAGATTAAACATAAATTCAGCATAAAGAAAAATCACACGAGACAAAATACTTCAGATGAAGAACGCTATTATTAAGGAGAGGGAAGCTAACGAGCAATGTCTTCTATTCATAATGTCAAACAACCTTTCAAACTTTTTATGCCATCTAAGAAATTTTAAAGCAGTCTGCCTCCCAGAAGAAATAATTTAACAAAATTATAACATATCATAAGCCTTGAGTTACTTTAAAAAAGAAAAGAAAAGCGGTCTTTCAAATATTTGATCGGTTTTAACACTCATTTCTCCTAAAATTGCTGAATACCAAATTCTGCATCCCAGAGTTTCAAGCAGGGAAACACTAAACATTTAAGGGAAGATGAAAATTTAGAACAACCAATGCATGCAACAACAAAAAAAAGTTAGAATAGCATATGCCCATTTGAGCAGTTTGTCACAAATCACAACAGAGGCACCTACATGAACAAAGTGCTGAGGATATGATCTCCCACTGTCCAGTGTTCTGCTTTGTTGTACCTTCACCTCTTTCCATGCTGCTATAGTATGAGTCTCAAGTTGCTCTTCAGTCAAATTTGACCCATGATTACCCAGCTGAAATTACACAGGTTAAATTACCAACAGAATTTAATGCAAAAGCATTAAATTTAGAGTAAACTTCTTTCACATCACTCACACAATACTTCATTGCTATTCAATGTCTACCATTGTAAGAAAAAGACTGTGAATACACAAGAATGCACCATGAATTCTCTATAAGAGTAAGTTTAGAAACTAAAATGCAGAAATGATTCATTATAAAAGGCATGAGCATGCATATTCACAATAACAGAGATGCCAAAAACATAATGGAAGAACTAGAAGAGGTTTTGCCATCAGATTAGGAAATTCAAGAATGTATATATTTTCAAGATTCTTCCCCTGACAATTCTCTTTAGAACCATAAGAATAATAGCATAATACCTTACTCTAACAAGTTCGACAGATATTTAGACAGAAATACAGACTAAAATTTGCTTATAATGTATACATAAACATAAACTAGTTAGTGAATGCATGACACTGAACAAATTACTTTTAATTCCGCAGACCAAATATTATCATCTGTCAGAGCCACATAAATTTATTAAACTTCAAAAAATGTGGTCCGCATGAAGCTGCTTCACTCTAGAAACTATTATATATGCATGTGCCATTGCAAGGGCCTTAAAAGAGTCAAACTAATAAATCAGCTTGTAGCATGCAGATTATGGCATGTCTCAGAATTTAGCACAGCAGTGTCACATGAAAATTCTGATCCCCACAAACCTCTTTCAATATTAGAATGAAGTCCATAGCACTAAGCACTCCAACAAACTGGCTCTTGCTAAAATCCCATAAAGGAGCCATAGGTATGCCCTGTAAGCAGATTAAGTTATGATTCATACATGTGAGGTAAATATCAACCAAGTAGATGCTCAGACATTGCATGGGCCTCTTCACATGCGTGATTTTATGACCATGGAAATGCAAATATATGTTTTTTAATGGTGTAATGAGAAAGATATTATACCTGTTCATAAAGGACATGGAACGCCTGCTTAACTGGTAGGTTGATATCAAAGGCAACGACCTGTGATTGAAACAATCAAACCAGAAGCAAATAAGCAACATCAAATCAGGGTCAAATCCCCATTCAATGCCACAACAAAAAATCGAGGAGTAATATTCAAACCTTGCCTGAGTCAGGAAGCAACTCATAAGCAGTATATGTAGACAAGAATACTGCTATACGGTGGCAAGAGACCTCCAGATCAGACTCTGACACCCTTAAATTAGCTTCCTGGATATATGCAGTCAAAGGAGCTTAAATGAAGCAAAAACTTTAAGGCTACAGAAATTACAGTTTGATCTCCCAAACTAAGAAAGGAGAATAGAGAGAGAGAGAGAGAGAGAGAGAGAAAAAGGAATGAAAGGAATCATAAAATATATGAGATCAAAAAAATTTTGGCACCAGATCGTCCCATTAAAGAAAAATAACGCATGGATAAGATTCAATCTGATCAGAAGCACTGAGGGAATGAGAGGGAAGGGAAAACAGCTTACCACAAGCCGAAAGACATCATTATCAACCTCCATGTGGGATCTGCCAGGCATCTCAGGAATAAAGATGGAAGGCAAAGCATCCGGTTCTCTTGTCAAGAAAATAGTATTCACTACTCCATAGCTCCCAGTTACAAATGGTTGCTGCTCATCATGCTGCCACTCACCATCTACATTAAATTTGTACTGCACATCATTGAAGATGATAAATTTTCATCAGTTTGAATTGATTATCCTTACCATACTATACTTACAGATTTCAACATTTAATTTATCATAAATTACCTCAAGCAGAAACAAATAATAATAAAAGGGCACCATTACATTTGGTAATGAGAAAGGCCAGAATGTAAAATAAGTTAGCTAAATTCCACTCTAAATTACGAGTGACAACAATTTATCTATTTGTTGACCTACTGTCACTTTTCACCATCATAATGGAGCATACCATCAAAAGCTAACATATCCATATTCAACTAGTTGCTACAGGATAGAACAGAACAAGTACCTAGCCTACCAATTATTGATTAATTTGGCATCACACCAAAGAGAAAAATACCAAGAAAGGGGCTGGATATGACTAGAAGGGGCAAAAAAAAAAAGTTATACAGTAACAGCACAGTGAAACTTGGTAGAACTTATCAAAATTCCCATATTCCGCATACAGTCATGTTAACAACAAAGTACCTTTTCACATCAAAGAATGTTGTCTACTCAGTTATATATAAAACAAAAGAGTAGGCAACTGCAAAAGCTCTGTCAAAGAGAAAAATACCAAGAAAGGGGGTGGATATGACTAGAAGGGGCCAAAAAAAAAAAAAAGTTATACGGTAACAGCACAATGAAACTTGGTAGAACTTATCAAAATTCCCATATTCCGCATATAGTCGTGTTAACAACAAAGTACCTCTTCACATCAAAGAATGTTGTCTACTCAGTTATATATAAAACAAAAGAGTAGGCAACTGCAAAAGTTCTATGGAAAATCTGAATAACTGAAAATTACTCCCCAAAATCTAACAATGCATAAATATGACTCGATAAGCAGAAAAAACGATGTCTTAAAGTAACTTGTTTACAAGCACATCCCTCCGTTTTCTTTCCCGCAACTTGTGCAAGCAGTAAGGACTGGAGTTTTGGAACCACAATCTCATCCCCCTACTTTTATCTTTGAGGGGAAGTGCATTCAAACTAAATGGTCCATTGGTCAAATATAAGAACATGACGTAAAGTTTCAATCGCTAGTATTGTATTTCCTCAGGTCTGACAAAGCATAGGGGCCAAACAACCTGATGATATCCCGGCATTAAGCTGCAAATAACTTGAAATGCAGTAGGACATCCCTCCATAGGAGACATAGGTATATGTTCAGACCACCTGGACACATGAAGGTTATAAATCACATTAATGCGACCAATACAGAAACAAAAGGGGGGGAAAACAATTATAAGAATGCACTCAAGAACAAGGCCAATCATATCTATGGAACCATCAATCATGTTGAGCAACAAATGAGGATGATCTAGAAAGTAACTAGATTTGTAATGAATAATTCAATAACTCAAATCCTACCTTGTGAAAGAGCCACTAAGAAACACCTTTCTTCCCCCGTAAGGCCAGACGAACCGCTTTGGAATCATAATGGATCCTGACACTCCACTGCTTTCATGTCCTGTATCCGCTACTGAAGCAAACATTTCACCGGGATTTGATACGCAAAAAACACCCACAACTTAGAGCAACTTTCCAACTTGTATACCCGAGAATAGCCGGTAATCTCCACAAATAGAATACTTCATAGAAAGCCTTTTCGCACGGGATCCTCCACAGCAGAGCAGAGGACCCCTTAAGACTCACACATGCAGTGGACCTTCACAATTATCGCAGGGAAATCACACCCTATGACTGTAATCCCCGAAATTTAACCATGCGCAGCGCCCACTAAATCCAAAAGCCTAACAATCGACAGAGCTGATCAATAATTGGGTACCTGAAATGAACGGATTATAGTGCCGTCAAAAAAAAAAAAAAACTAGAAGTTCTGCCGATGCAATTTCTAAAGGTACTAGAATTTCCATCCAATCTGGTAAAGAGTACGAGAATTTTACCGAGAGATTCGAAGTCGAGAGCCCTTGAATTGCCGGGAAATAAAACTAGCAAATAGCGTGGTTATGCTTTAATTCGTTCAGGTGATTCTACGTTAGAAGCCGTACCTCGAGAGAGTAAACCAAAAAAATTATCGATACTCAGGAAGTATAATGCAATGTGATTTATAGCTAAATAATATAAAGAGGAACAAGCGAGCAGAGGAAAGAGAGGAAAACAAAACAACGCATTAAAATAATTACAACAGCAGATACCGCTAACACAAAACAATGAGAGAATAAAGGAGATTACCAGGAAGCAAGGGGCGGGAAAAAACAGCGAGCAGTAAATATGTAATGAAGAGGCGAGATAAGAGATCTAAATCGGGCAAATGAAAATACCATTGCAAAAGAAGGCCATCCGCTGCATCATGCATTGTAGTATAGTACCCCCAATTATATGCAAATCCAGAAATCAAATCTGGTCAACTTTGTTACTTTTTGTCATTTAAATCTTTGGATACGTGCCATGCATTGGTGGGATTTTATTTAATACGTTCATTACATTACGAAATCAAGGGTTTCGTGACATAAATATTTTGATTACAGTAAGGATTACGCACTCGTTTTTATTAACGAGCAAGCCCTACGAACTTATTTGACCGGCAATTAGGTTAATCTAGAGTAGACAGGGACGAAGTGTGTTTGAGATCCAATTTGACTGCTGGAGTGGAATATGGGGTAGGATTCATGATTCATGTCCCTAATGCGAGGCATACTTGTGATAGCCCCTGTGATTTCACTGCTAACCAAACGGACACGAGAATCTCTTGTTTTGTTTGTCCACAGTCTCACCAGCGGAAAGGAAATGGAAGCTAAAAGCAACATGGGATCTTGTCGTGGGCCCTCGACCTCCGTAGCCCAATATGCGACTTTTTGGATGTTTCAGTAGGTATTGCTGCGTATCACGTCCCAATCGACTCACTTCGTCTAATCTTAATCTCCTCTGCGTAAATACAGAATGGTTGCAATTAATGAGTGTTGGGTCCAGTGAAAGCCACACTGGTAAATCAATATTCGAATTCTCGTTGAAAAGAGTATCTATATTTAATGTCTAACAGTCGATCAAACAAAATTGCCTCCACGCATAACATAACAGATGTTTCAAACTCACACTCCAATTATGATGATGCAACTATTTTGACAATCCAATCCCCAAAACTATCTCCAATATCAGAAGTAACATTTCTTTTCTTCAAACCTCGAAAATACTTCGTTACATTATAAAGCAAACGGACTTAGCTTGGTAAGGACTGACCTCATGAGACGGGGTTGGCCTGGTTTGAACCTCCAAACAAACCGTCTTAATAAAGTATTCAACATCAAATTCAGTTCCCATCACTGCGTCTACCAACTATGTCATTTACCCTCAACTTGAATGTCCCCATTAGATGAGTGCTCTCTGTCGTATAAGAAGCTGCACTGTATCGCATCACATGTAATTATAAAAGCGAAATTAAAATGAAAATGGTCAGTAGCAAAAACATGCTTGAAAGAACGTTAATAAAACGTGGTATTTAAATTTGATTTTTAATGGATTCATTTTCTCTACTCTTTTAAGCAAAGAATTTGCTTTTCGCCTCTCCCCTGTAATTAACTCCGAACTAACATGGCAATATATCAACTATTACCATTTATTGGGCCTAGATGCCACACATGATAGAGTGGAATTGGACCCACCCACCTTTCTTTGGGCCCAAATGCTATAAATCACCATTACCTTGTGCTACAAAGAGGTAACTAAATAAAGAAGATAAAATGTCGCCTTTGTGGGCTCTCATTCCTCACCATCGATGACTTGGTCTTGGATCCATCCCCTGTGGCTGTGACAGGTCACCACTTGTCTTTTCAGTGCCTTTCGTCGTTTTTTTTTTTCCCATTAAAACGGCAACGGCCTTCCATCTAAAGCTGCATAAAAAAGAAAGATTCAGGAACAAAAACAAGGGTGAAAAAAAATCTGGTGTGGGATAAAAACTGACAAGGAAGTGCTGAATTTTGATGTAAATTTATAAGGAGTTTGTAAAATGAAAATGAATAAATTCAAATAAATAAAATAATTTCAATCCCTAATACTTTACTTCAAAAAGATACCGGAGACTTGATTGAACGATACCGGTGGTCCAAAAACCAAAAGAAGAGTAATTCTGCTGAAAAAAGGAGTGTTCCCGCCATATTTAGGCGGGGCCCATGAGGCAATTTCGTGAATGGCCCATCCAGTGTACGACCAAGAGTCACAGACCATCACGGGGGTGAGGGCGAAATATCCCTACTTGACTACGGATTGAATGAATTCCACCGCTACTCTCACATATCTTTTTTGGCCTGAGCTACTCTTACATATCATTTCTTCCTTTTTACCTTCAATCACAATTTTAATCTCTGTATCTAGTAAATCTATATAATAAATCATATTATTTAGGCTTGCCGAATATATAGGACTCGGTCTCGTCCACTACTCCTTACCAGGGAAGTGAGATTACTCATCAGCATATCTTACCCATATAATTAATTCAACTTTGGTTGAGCTGTTGACATGAATGATTATTGTATCCCGTGTAATTAATTAACTCTCAGCACGGTTCCAAAATTTGTCTAAATTTTAGATCCGAGTGATGATCCAAAGTGGTGGCTAATGAATAATAACTGAAAGTATAGATAATGATTTTAAAGCACGTAGACCTTTTAAGGCAGACTCAAGCGATTGTCGGCCAAGGTGACTCCACCGAGAAGAGACGATGAAATCTTTTGTTCTGTCCAAATGCGTCATCATAGATCCTTTTCGCTTTATAATTGGAGCATCAATGAATGAAGGCAGGAAAGAAGGCAACGCTTTTCAAAATTTAAAATAGAAAAAAGAAAGAGCTTCAAAGCTCATGAAAAGCACTCTCAAGTCATCATTAATTATTAGTACTGATCCAACGCACTCATCAGCTGAGGTTTCTTTTTACCACTGTTAAACAGGAGCCAACAAAAAGAACTCACGAGATCTCAACAACAATAAGGATGCCGGAGAGAGAAGCACGTATAAATGGTAGTTTCCATTGTATCATTAAAAAGGATTAAATCATATGTTTATTATGTGGTCTCCATGTCATTAATGGTTAATGAATAGTTTAGAGAGAACATTCTGGCGAGTGATTTGTAAATCTGACTTTCTACGTAGGACTGGAGGGACTTGTAAAATATTGATTATGTGTATTCTGGAAGAACTACATAGGGGGATTATGTGTGTAGGATATTGAAAACTCTTTTTATATTACATGACTTTTTTGCTTTTCCTCTGTTGGTGAGCAGCAAAGATTTTTTTTTTGTTCCCCGCAAAGAAAGGGGAAAAAGAGCTGGACAGGAGGGGTAATAATTATACAAAGGCTGTAACCCACATGCATGATTGATATATAATCACTTTAATTTCTTTTCCTATTAAGATGCATGCAAAGTCCATTTTAATTACCTATTTCCTGTTCTTTATATCATTTCAATCATTCCCTGCCTGCCCTCCTTGGACTTTCATATATGCAAATTAAATATGACACTACTGAAAAGAGTGGGCACGCGCCAATTTTTCCTTTTATAACAGGAGATCAATTTATAAATTAAATCCATCTGGCTACATATTGAATCCTTCACTCACGATTAACTACCCATATATACATGCATGATGATTAAAGTCAGATTACGAAGATAAGTACTCCTCCGGTCCTAATTATAAGACCCAATTGATTTATTTGAGGAGATTAAGGAAGTAAGTTAAGTTAGTTATTTATAATAAATAAGTGTTGTTATTCCTAAAATATCCTTGCTAATTAAGTATATTGGCTAAAACTATCATTATTATAAAGATTATCTTGGAAAAAAAGACATAAATATAAGAGAGAAAATGGATTGGGTCTTATAATTAGGACCAAATAAAAAGTCAAATTGGGTCTTATAATAAGGACCGGAGGAGTAATTAATTAGGTGTGTGGCCCAACGATGATGATGCCCCACACATGTGCAGGAACTTTATTACTTACAATCAAATATTTCGTGGCCGAGACTTTTACTAAGTAAATGATTAGTTAATTAATTAATTGAGAGGCTCTTACTCTTTTTCACCACGGCATGCAAGGTATTGTCTTTATTGCGTGTACGACGAATGGCGGTGAGTCGGCCAAGGATGACAAATTAACACATGCGAGAGAAAATCATCAAAGGATAAATAAAATAGACGTTATGCATGCATGGAATAGTATATATATACACACATATATATATATATATAAATGGAAATGTCACTAATACAAACGAAAGGCGCGAGTTCCTCTTCGGAGGACAGCGAGAGAGACAGAGTATGGACGGCCTTCCTCCATCTGTACCATCGCATGGACTGCTCCATCAGAAGTTTCTCTTTGGCGGTTCTTGACTTTTTGTATCGTGTTCGTATATGATTAAATTTGCTCATGGGTATAGTATCTCAACCCATTTCATTTTTTTATATGTATTATTATTTTTTTAATTATTTTACCATTTGATTAAGTGATCTTTACATTAAGGATGAAACTACTCCTCCAATCTTTAATATGAGGCATATTTAACTAATTTGATTAGATTAAAGAAATTAGTTAATCATAAGAAAAGTGACACATTTTTCCTAAAATACTATAATCATATTTCTTAATATCCCCTCTCCCTCTTTTACTTGAATATAGTTGAGAGAGTATCCATATCGGTAATTTAGAGAAAATTGATAACTATAAGAAATGGGTCTTATATTTAGGACCAAAACCAACTCAAGAATTTGGTCTTATATTAAGAATCGGAGGAGTATATCAGGAGTGATATACATACACAGACATATACAGTTGTGTAGATGAAGATGATGGGGTTATGTTGGCAGGGGTGAAGACAGGTCATCGATTATCACAAAGCAAGGTGAATAACGACGACGAAGTATGCAAGCAACCAAACTACAAATGCATTCGGAATCGTCTCAACCTTTTTAGCTTATATGTATGTGACCATATACTCTCACCGCTGCCTTCTTAATTATTATTACGTCGTTAATGTTATACATATAGGCTGCAACGGCCGTTAGTTTGTTTACAAAATTCCAAAAAAAGAACACACGATATACAAACGACGTGATTGTCGGCTACGGCTCCGAATATGTTCATTCCTGCACACACATACATAAATATTGTTAATATATAACTAATAATAATTGTTGATGTGCGCAGAGGACAGAGGAGTGTCAGTGAGTATATGTGTTCTCCAGCTTCAGGTTTATGAAAAAAAGTCGGTGGGGGCCTATTTGTGAATCCAGCAAATCTGACGACCTTTATGGAGATATGATTCCTGGTTTTTTTTTTATATAGGAAAATACTCGAAAAATAAAACAAATTGTAATGACACATTGAGGGAAAAAATTAAATTAAAACATATACTACCTCTTGTTTTTAACATAAAAATTAGTTTAGTTTTTAATTTAATTCTAAATATAAGATATTAATCTACTTTGTCTCAAATATTTATTTCTTTTGTGCTCAAATAATCTCTATAGTGGTTGTATATGTTAAGGAGTCACTATCAATTTGTAATTAAAATACACATAATTAATAAAGATATTTTAAAACAGATAATATCTATTTATTATAAATAACTAATTCAACAAACTGTTTTATAATATCTATTTATTACAAATAACTAACTCAACTAACTTTTTTAATCTCTTTACATTAGTTAACTAATTCTTATACTACCTCCGATCCTTAATATAAGATCCTGTTTGACTTTTATTTTGGTCCTAAATATAAGACTCTAATCCACTTTATCTCTCGTATTTATACATTTTTTTCAAAGTAGCCCTTGTAACAATAATAGTTCTAGTTAATACACTTAATTAGTAAGGATATTTTAGGAAAGACAGCACCTATTTAGGACAAATAACTAACTCAACTTACTTTCTTAGTCTCTTTAAATTAATCAATTGATTTTTATAATTAGGACTAGAGGTAATATTATATCAAGGAGAACAAGAGGCAATAGCCTCTTGTTTGAAAAGCAAAATTTAACCCTGTAGCCCTATTCCCACCTAAATTCATTGAACAATCCTCTGATTCCCGTGGTTAACTTAGTCAACGAGATTTAAAAGGAAACAAATTATTGAATTCCTCTCATACTACCTCTGATCCTAAGCCAGTTAATTAATTTGAGGAGATTAAAAAAGTAGGTTGAGTTAGTTATTTATCCTAAATAAGTGTTATCTTTTTTAAAATATCCTTGCTAATTAAGTGTATTGACTATAACTATAATTATTAGAAGGACTATCTTGAAAAAAATTGAATAAATGTGAGAGACAAAATAGATTGAGATCTTATATTTAAGATCAAAATAAAAATCAAACAAAATCTTATATTAAATATAATAGATAGTATTATTTAATTTATTTTACGCTCATGTGTTAAGAGCGAGGGAGTTTATAATAATAATAATAATAAAATCATGATTTTGACCAGCTACGTGACGCGATCCACTATAAATACAGTTTGATGGCACAGAAGAAATTAAGAAGAAAGAGAGAGTGACAGCCAGGGAGCCACAAGGGTTTCGATTCTTTCAACACATGGGAAAACAATCGCTTACCTTTTTTGTTGATAGATTGATAGAGATGTTTGATGTGATCCCCCCGTGACTATAGATTTAACAAACTTGTGTCCGGAAATTTACTACTGATAATAACCATGCTGCGCTGAGTTGGAGACGCCCGTGCAATGAGGGCCGTCCGATCTTCCAGATGGAGAAAGACGAGCCCTCCATGCGTGTTATATGCCGCCCTGGAGAAATTTACTCAAGGAGAGCAAAAAGGTGTGTAATCATGGTGGTTGTGGCCTTGTTTAGAAGTTAAGAAAGCAATGCTTAGAGATTCCATTATGAGATTTTATGGACGGCCATTTTGCCTAACATATCAATAGATATGCACGTACGATGTGATCTTGTTCAGATTGATTAGGAAATTAAAGTAATAGTACTAGCGCTGCCACTTGATTCAACGATATACTGCTAATTTCGTTGTGCATGATTACAATTAAAACCGCCCCTTCATTATTTACATATGCATCCTAATTACTTTTTTTTTTTATGGTTGAGCTGATGATAAATACTACTTCTGGTTCTTAATATAAGATCTTATTTTATTTTTATTTTAATCTTAAATATAATACTTTAATCTACTTTATCTTTCATATTTATATATTTTTTTACAAAAAAGTCCTTCTAGTAAAAGTAGTTTTCACCAATATACTTAATTAGCAAGGATATTTTAGGAAAGACAACACTTATTTATTATAAATAATTAATTTAACTTATTTCTTTAATATCCTGAAATTAGTCAACTAGCTCTTATAATTAGGACATGAAATAGTATTAATTAGTCCGCAGGTGCATGTGTCAACTTCAACATCAGTTTCACGTTTGTTTATATAAATGCGTGCATGGGTGTTCACTTGCTGAAGTTGTTGGTGTTAGTCTTTCTCCAGAGATTTTAAATGTTGATTCCAAATATAGAGTACTCATTTAACTAGAAAATTGAATGGAAAAAAAAGAATCACTTATCTTACATGTAATGGTATACAGCGGGGTCCATTATTGAAGCCCAATATTTACAAAAAGATAGAGGCTAATTAAGTAATAAAATATAGGTTTTTTGATAACAATATTGTGGGGAAGAAGCGAGTACGTTATAATGCCATATGATCCCCTTTAGTACAGTGAAAGGAGGGCGTGGGTAGCGACGTGCGGTTCCTAAGTTCCATCAACTCATCAATGCATGTCTCCTACGCCTGAAATAATCGAATGCACTGTGCATGGTCCTCACTGTAATGGCTCTCTACGACGCCGTATTCTGATTACTGATCGTCCCAAGGTTTAAAATTCATTCCAGATTACAACTTCTTCTATTTGCCATTATATATAAATATGCTTGCTTGTTTTTTTTTTTGGGCCAGAAGCATTTTCTTCTGTTAGATTGTTGAGTGTGGACTGTGGCGATAGCATAACATGGATAGGACAAAAATTAGACTAACAATAATAAATTAATCTACCGACAACCTCATCAATCTTCAACCTGTTCTCTGTGTTATGCTCGCAGGCACAGTGGAGCTAAAATAAACACAACGGAAAATACACTTGATAATCAATCGTTTTAAGAATTTACAAATGATTTATTTATAGTAATCTTCTTGTGTGTGTGTATTGGCCTAACCAAATTCAAACTCGTACTGATCTCGTATATGAAATTATTTTTAAATAATACTGCTCCCGGTCTTAATACTAATTTGAGAAGATTAAATAAATAAGTTAAGTTAGTTATTTGTAATAAATAGGTGTTGTCTTTCCTAAAATATTCTTGCTAATCAAGTATATTGGTTAGAACTATTATTATTAGAAGGATTATCTTGAAAAAAATGTATAAATATGTGAAATAAAATATGTTGTAATATTATCTTTAAGACTAAAATAAAAATCAAACAGAAATGTTATATTAAGAATCGAACGTTGTATTAATATGCGCAAGAAACAGCCAATTAGGCATTCACACGAGCGGCCATTAAAATGAAAAGGCCAGTAAATATACAGGGGAAAGGGAAGGAGGAGTCACGAGATGGGGTGATGGAGAGGCGAGGCCAAATGACAAAAGGCCGTACGGGTTTGACATAAAAAGGTGAAAAAGAGGAAGGTGGCTGATGGTTGCCTGGTAAAAAAACGGTGGGGACGGTGAAATTACCCGGAAGCAGCACGTGAACAGGAGAATTGTTGTCTCGTTGTGTGGTCACTTCGAGAACGATACGATCTGAGGTTGTCAGCGACGGGTGAGGCTACTTTCGTAACTTCACTTACCCTTTTCCGGGCGCCTCCTTCTTGCGTAAGTGGCACTCTCGTGGTTTTCGCCGCCAGATCGAGGGCAACCTGGGAACAATGCCCCCTCCTTAAAATATCGCCTCAAATGCTGACAAACTCTCTAACTAGTTGCCCTCGCCCCCCTCGCTATCCCTTAAGCGGGTCTTTACAAACATCTCCCATTCACTATGTGGACTACCCATATCACCCTCCACCAACTAATCAAATGTTTTGGAGGCTTTGCTCATCTCGTCCTGTGCCTCTTTTTCCACAACCATCTTATTCCGAGCATTCAAATTATAAAACCCAAATGAAAAAATTTCAATTATTCTAATCCTGTTGACGTCTGAGAAAGAAATCATGTTGTTCATGATCTTGCTGTATGATTTATATTAAATATAAATTCAATTTAAAAAAAGTCTTATCTCTATTTGTGAGGCACCTGTGAGCTTGATGATGAAACAACAATTTTTTCCCCTCGGGTTGGTTCAAATAAAATAGCGACTTCCCCAGAAAGAGATCACTCTACCACATACAAAGGCTTTACAATCCATCAAGTTCATGGGTTTGACTTTTTGCAATTAATTTGCTCTAATGCGGTCTAAACACTATGCCAAAAATGTCACGAGGGGGTAATATCGAAGAAAAGCAGGGGCACATGTACATAGCGAGAAAGAAGTGTGCCCCAGAGAAATATATATTATTATTGTATATTTAATATTATTATAGCATAGTGCAAATCCAAAGCCCGGTTCTTGTATTCTTGTGGCAGCCATAAATGGAGGAGAGTTTCCTGGCATTTGTCTTCCTCTATTCGCACAAATCCCATATTTTGAGTTTCATTTTTCATGGCTTTTTCAAGTAAATAGCAGTAAGAAGCTAGGAAACAGTAGCCCAGCAGAGAGAGGGAGAGAGAAATCAAGGGAGAAAGCCAAGGGGAAGATTTTGGTTGATTGAATTAATAGATTATTAGGTAGCTTCAATGTCAAACATCACGAGCTGTGACAGTGGGAGTTTCAGAGAAGATGCAGCTATTAAACACCGTCCTCAACTCACTGCTGCTCATCACCAGTTTCACAGTCCAACTTCTCTTACTTCAACCACCACTAACAGCAACGGTTCCAACGCCAATTCCCAACTTCCTCCTCCGGTTAAGAGGAAGAGAAACCTCCCAGGAAACCCAGGTAATTTTGCTACATAGCTTGCCTTTTCTTTAAAATAAATATAGCGTTTTCTGATGTTCTGACTTTTAATTTTCTCCCCTTCAATGAATGGGGCTGATGAATGACGACTCGTATATTTGGCATTCTGTAAGTTATAATCTGCCAAATCTCACCCAGAAGGACTCATCAGCTGATCAATGATTCTGAATGCAGTCATGCATATGTGTATATGTTTACTCGAAATCTAAACGGTTATTAATTATAAATCGGGAAAGACATGTTTTTAATATGTCAAAAAGCAAGAGTTGATCTCCCCATAAGGCATGTATAGTGTTTGCTAGCTGAATCTCTGCTCTTCGTACGGGAATATATAAGAAGGATGTGGTCAGATGTTTTAAGCCAGAAATGCATATAGAGAAACTATTTCTCGGTGAATTATTGGTGCCACATTAGTTAGTTGTCGAAGAAGCTCAATTATTGTCTGGAATTCACAATCATTGCTGCTCACTGTTCATCTCTTCCTTTTTTGCTTCCCTTTTAGTTTCACCACTGTTTCAGAAAGCGCACCACACGTACACGTTCACGCACAAATATATATGTATATGCCTTTGAAAATCAAGTCTCTCACCTCTCTCTCTACACGCTCGCGTGAATGCTCTTGCCTGTGTGTTTTGTATTTCCTTGTCCGTAGAGGGAGACCCGAGAGAGAAAGAGAGAGACTTTGGATTTTATTCATCTACTCTTATCCCTTTTTGTCTGGTTTAATTTGTACGTACGGGTAGGCTAAGATTCAGATATATATTGCATTTAACTTAATTTCTTCGTTTATCTATGTTCGCAGAGGATGGGTCTCACCACATGATCAGCCTTTTTTGTCACTTTATTCATATCGTACTTGACATACCAAACATTTACTATTTTTTTTTAAAATTTTTTTAATGATGGGTTTGTGTGCCTGCGCTGTGGCGTACAGATCCCAATGCCGAAGTGATTGCTCTATCACCAAACGCCCTAATGGCGAGAAACCGATTCTTGTGTGAAATCTGCAACAAAGGATTCCAAAGGGATCAAAATCTGCAATTGCACCGGCGAGGCCATAACCTGCCATGGAAGCTCAAGCAAAGGCCGACCACAGAAGTTCGAAAGCGAGTTTATGTTTGTCCAGAGCCTTCGTGCGTCCACCATAACCCAAGTCGAGCACTGGGTGACCTTACTGGCATCAAGAAGCATTTCTCAAGAAAACATGGCGAGAAGAAATGGAAGTGTGAGAAGTGCTCCAAGAGATACGCAGTACAGTCCGACTGGAAAGCTCATTCTAAGATCTGTGGTACTAGGGAATACAAATGTGATTGTGGCACCATCTTCTCCAGGTTCATCAAAAAATTTTCCATCCTGAAAATTCTAACTTGTCGTTATACACACACACACACACACACGCATTTAGTGCCTTTTTTGAGCGAAGGAATTCTATAAAAATATACATTATATTCCATGCACGCATCGATGGTGGGTGCATATTTTATCTTCATATATATGGTGATTCTTGTTCACCATTTCTATATATTTTAATTTTTAGCCACGAATAATCAACTCACTGGTTCATTGCGTATTCATTTGGTGCAGACGAGATAGCTTTATCACCCATAGAGCTTTTTGCGACGCGTTGGCCGAGGAGAATAACAAAGCCAACAATGAAGGACCATATTCAAACTCACAAGGTCAACATCAAATCCCAAATCCTGTTTCTTCACTGCCAATCAACTCCAACTTCAACCCACAAAAAGGGACGCCCCACTATAATCATTCTGATGAAATTAAGCATCCAATATCGCACCTTCATCAGGAGCTCCTAGAATTCCCAGCAAAAGCATTCAATTACATGACTGGAAGCGTATTCGCAAGAAGTCTTTCGTCCAACAGTTCCTGTTCATCACTTCAACTGGGTTCAAATAATTCCCTGAGCATGTTGGAAGAAATCGAGCACCAAACAGGAGGTGGATCGGCCCACATGTCAGCGACGGCATTGTTGCAGAAAGCAGCTCTAATGGGAGCAACTATGAGTAACAGTCCTAACAGCTCGGGCATGGCACCCTCTTCATTGGGGCATAATAGTAACCACTACTACATGAACAGTGGACAAGCTGATATGTCATCATCTCAGTATTTCGGAGGAAATAATAATAGCTTTGGGATGAACAATGTGGATATGTTCAATGCTATAATGGACCAAAGCAAGGCGTTGTCGAAGATGATGGAGCATAACAGTCGAAGCAGTAATAATGCGAATAACCATGGAGTTTTGCACAGTGCAATGAACGGTGGGCCAGCAAGTAAAGGAAGTGGGGGGGATGTAACGACTCTGGACTTGTTGGGGATTGGTGCAGAGGAGGTGGTGATGCTTTTCTATGGCGCCAACCAGGCGGAAAAGGCTGAAACGCCTTTAGGCCAGGGCAACCAAAAATAAGACAGGCTTTGAATCATTTTTGCCTTTAATTTGGATCAACTTTTCAATTCACTTTGGTCTTTCGTTTATTTCTCGGTACTTTCTTTAATTTTTTTTTCCTTAAACAAAAATCCCTTCCCCTGTGAATCTTGGAAGCCAGATGAGTAAAGCAGAGTTGAAGTGACAAGTTCAAAATGGACGCTTGGCTTCCCAGTTTTATTATCATTGTTCTGGTACCTCGAAAGAAAAAGCGCCAAAACGGCTTTCGAAGATGGTGCTGCCCCTTATCATTAACCTGCAGACGGCAAAGAGTGATGGCCACACAAACCGGATAAGCGCTATCCTAGAGTTACAACCGCACACACAATCAGAATCTGCCACTTCATTGTTAATTATTTCTCTTGGTCGTGAGATGCCGTCGAATGGGAAGCTACAAGGCCTCCCTGTCATCTATTAGAAAGTTTCAATTTTGGCTCCCAAATGAAATGAGCCGACGAATAAACTTTGCGTCCAACACTATTGATGATACTCGCTAGTGCCGTCTAAGTAATCAATTCATATAATCGTGCAAATCATGGCATTGCATGCCAGTTTCCACGCATGCACTCGACTTTGCGTGGCAAAATGTTCGGGTGATCGAGAAGAGAGTTTAAAAGAGCGGTCGCCGGCGGAGGAATTTGCACCCCTAGCGATGACCTTCCGGCGGCGGCTTCTCGTGGGCGTTGGGTCGGCTTCCCTCGTGGCAGTGGGTGCCAACTTCAGCGGAATTACCAGTTTTCTTCTGGGGTTGTCGCCGGAGATTGGCCGGAATCTTAAGCTCGACGTGGTTTATCCCATCGGAGGCTACAATCGTTGGATTGACGGTAACGAAGGATTTGGTCAGTAATTAATTTATTCTACGAACATTGCATTTCTCCTAGATAATAAGTCGATCATGAGAAAAAGAGGGGGGATATCGTGATTGGATTGGTGATTTTGAATTTTTTGATGCGAGTAACAGAATTCATATACCCAGCAAACTGGGTGGGAGATCAGACGCTATTATACCGAGCAGCCAAGAAAAAAGAATTGGAACGATCATTGGATCCGCCTCCTCTCAATGGTCGGCGCCGTCCTAATATCAACGAGCCGGTTGTTGCATTCGGTCCCCCCGGCTCAACCGGCGAACTCAATGTCAGCGTCATCGTGTCGCCCGTTCCTCAGGATTTCTCGTGAGTAAGCGGCAACTATTAGTATTGAATTACTAAATAAGCAAACTTATGAGAAATACTGAATTAACAGTAATAAACTAATAATCCCCTCATTGTTTGCTCGTTTTAAACAAGGATTGAAGCCTTTGGGGGGCCTGAAGAGGTGGGTGAAGCCGTGATCCGGAGCATCACGAGATCGACGCAGCTCCCAGACGTGAAAGGAAGACTGATAAACGCAAACGTGAGAGAGGATCTTCCGAGAAAAGCAAAATACTACGAACTGGAGTTTGGAGTGGAGAGTCCTTCGTTTCGGCGGCACAACGTAGCTGTATGCTGCGCTGCTGCCGGGAGGCTCTTTACTCTAAATGCTCAGGCACCTGAATCGGCCTGGCCAGCTTTGCAATCGCATTTCTATCGAATTGCTCACTCATTCACCCTCACGGATTAGGGCTTCGAAAACAAGAAGCTTACAATTTATTCACAAAGCAGTGATATCAACTCTAATGTCTCATGAAATTGGAAGATTGAGGACAACAACCTTTTTGTCAAAGCAGTGTTTAACTTGCATGGCAATTGGCCAAAAACAGCGACCAGAGGGAGACCACTTCAAATTTTGAATGTCTTCTACTGGGAGGGCGTAACATCAATTCAACCATCATTATCAGCCACAAAGCAAGCAGAAACTCACTCATGACTATGCATGATTCTTTTTCTTTTCTATTACAGTTTGTGATCGGTCATATACACGATTCAATAGTCGGTAGCATGCGACCATTATGCAAATGAGATGATTTTTTTGCCTGAAATTAGATGACTGGATACATATTAAAATACACGCAAAAATATCATGATGCTCAGTAATATAGCTTACACATAACTATTCATAATACAGAGCCCTTCACCAGTTCATTTGCCACACCGCGTTACTCAAGCACAAGAAATTTGTCTCCGCTTAACCATCTTGTCGTAGTTCTCAGCAACCATTGCAGTCAGATTGGGATCCCCAAATCCAATATCTGCACCAAGTCTGAGACAGAACAACAGTTAAGCTCTTATTTATTTAAAAGCAGAGGAAAAGGGTCATGGAGATGGTGGGTCAGTAATTTTCACAATGAATCAATGAATAACAAGAGCAAACCAATATAACATTTCTGTCAAAGCAGTAATGAATCCATTTCGTATCTCGAGGGATCAAATTTTCATGAGAAAGAAGAAATCGAGTGAGGGGAAAGAGGTGGGCTTGTTGAGAGAGCACTTGAGCAAAAGCGAAGAAACATGCATACTTTGGGTCAAGAACAAGTTTCTGAACTTCTTTGATGGCTGAACTAGCTGCATAAAGAGATATCTTCCCAACCTGCACTCATGTCCAAGAAAAGGCCAACAAATTACACTCGAGGGAGCCACAAAAATTAAATGGATCTCAAGCAATTTAGTAGGAGGCTGCAAGGGTCGGCAATAAAAGGAAGGGGGACTGAATTTAAAGGCAAAAAAAGGGGACCGGATTTTAAAAAAAAAAAAAAATCAAAGCATTTTCTCTCTTCTGACCTCCAATACTTGATGCTTGGCTTCATGTTCATTTGGCAGACAGCGGACATCCTCAGCCAATCTCACAGCCTCCCCGAGGCTTTCTGGCGATAAGAAATCAAGGCCCAGCTGAACAGTGGACTGAAATTTACACAATGTGGAAATGATTACATATATCCATCTTTCTTCATTCAAGATGGAGGGTGAAGAAAATTTCTTGTTCCTAGTCCTGTATTCTTCTTTTTGTTTCTTGGCGACGCAATGTATTTCAGTTTTTTTTTTTTTTAAAAGTTTACATATATTATGATTTAGAGTTAATTAATCCGCAAGTCTTTATAGTTTCAACGAATTTTGAATCAGGTCCCTATAGTTTTTTTTTTTTTATCATGTCCTTATACTTTTACCTTTTTTTAATTAGGTCCTTGTATTTATTTTTTTTTAATTAAGTCCTTATAATTTCACTAAATTTTTAATCAGGGCCATGTAGTTTTAATTTTTATTTATTAATTAAATATAAGCTTAATTAAATAGATTAATACTGAAATATAAAATATTAATAATTAAATTAAATTAATAATTATGTAATAAAAAAGTAATAGAATTAATTAATCCAGGAAATTTTTTTAGAACAATTAATTTTTTTGCTGAAAAAATTAAAATCATTATAATAATTCAATATCTTTATAATATTATTGTTTATAAACTAATATTAAATAATATATACTATTTTATGTTTATATAATAGTACTATTAGAATTTATAAAATAAAGAATAAAAAATTTAGGGACTTAATTAAAAATAAGGTGAACTTATAAGCACTTGATAAAAAGAAAAATAAATACAAGAACCTAATTAAAAACAGGTGAAAGTATAGGGACCTGATAAAAAGAAAAAAAATTATAAGGACCTGATTCAAAATTAGTTGAAACTATAAGGAGCTGTGGATTAATTATCCCTATGATTTATGACAAACAAGTTTCCATTTAGGTTCCTCAAAAAGGTATCTTGTGATAAAATAATTGTTCACTGCAAATGGATTTAGGTCAGTTTATTCAAAAAGGTACTTCTCCGGTCCTAAATATAAGACCTTTACACATGTAAGGGTCTTATATTTAGGACCAAAGGAGCAATACAAACCAAAGTAGAATCTCTATTGGCAAGAGCTTGAACTAAATTTTAAAGTGAATTCTGGAAAAAATATAGTTAATTAAAAGGATTATTTTCCATTACTGGTTATCAAAATCTTTATGATATACTAGATAGATTAATCATATAGGTCTATTGGACAAGGTCAACCAACAATAACTTCACATCTTTTGATTCTTTCCATTTTTACTAATAACAGTGTCCTTGATTCTAGTAGATGGGGAAAATTTCAGGGCAGCAATTTAAAAAATAACTTACAATGAAAAACGACCTCACCTGAACATTCCTTGCTTGGAAAGGGCACCCAGCAGGAACAAATACAGCTTCCCCCACACACTGTTCAAACGACCATGGTTCCACTCCTACGTAGGAATATATCCATCACATTAAAATGAAAGGGGGGAAATGAAAATTAGAATTCTTCAGAAATTTATATCCAGGCTCCATTACTTCAAGTCACAATGATTGACGCAGTACAGGCAACATCACTATTCAGATTTCAACTAAAGGCAGCATACATTCAGACATCACTTAGATCACCTAAACCAGCCTAGCACATACACTAGTGATTCCCTGTCATTCTCTGTGTGCAAGATTTGTCAGCCTAGCGCTTCCCTATCTATCTCTTAATAATAGCATGTAAAGAGAAAGCACACTATCTCACCAAATTCTTCCTTCAACTCCCTTTTATGGTGTCCGTTGAGAAAAATAACTCCATCATAAAGAGGCCTTGTAAACTTCAATCCAAAGAGTACAGTGAGCAACACTATTAAGGGGGGAAAAAAACCCATACCCAGAAATAAAGGTAGTGCACAAAAGAAACCACTAAAGAAGAATGATATATAAGGTTTCAATACAGCTTACAAATTTATTTACTGTATCATCTGGCTGCGCAAATTCTTTCCAACGAGTTTTTAGAAATTCAGTCAGCTTTGGAACATCCTGCCGACGAAAGACATCCCAAAGAACTCCAGGATCTGTTTTCTCCGCAACATCTCCATCCCAGCCTGGAAGTTCAGAATTGATCATATCCCCTTCAGCACTAGAATAATTTTCCAATTCTTTATTGACAATTGACGTCTTCTCATTTGAATCCAAATCCAGTTCGTTTCTTTCTGTGCCAAGTGATGAATCAGCTGGACTTCCCACTGAACATGTTTGCGGATCCACAGGCAACTCATTTGCATCAGATGACTTCTGCATCTTTTCACATTTTGTTCCCTGCGACTTCTTCAGCTTCACTTCACTTGTATGGACCAAAAGATAGACCTGGTCAAACTCAGCAAATGTCATCTTACTATCAGTTACTTTGCCTGTAGCCCGTTTATCCCTCTCTCTCTCTCTGTTTTTTTTTTTGATAAATCCAAACTCCATTATTTCACTCTAGAATACTTTTTTTTTTTTTTTTGAGAGAGAGATAAATTGTTACATCATTTATTGGAGTTTAAGTATACTTTGTACAAGTCCGGGGGCTTTAAATTCAAACAGCACAGAATAAATTGTTAAGCCACATAATTGATAGATGCATAAACGGTGACAGAAACATAATCAAACGTAAATTAATAATTTAGCATCAAATTTAAATTCCTAAAGCATTCAAAATTAGAAACACAAAATATGAGGTTTAGGGCCCTACTTATCATAATTTATTGCAAATTAATTTGTTTCACACTCCAACTCAATAATGGAAAAGAAAGAAAATAGTGAATAACGACCAACTATTATCTCTCAGATAAACAACCAAAAACATACCATGTCACGCATATTGAAGTGGAGATTGGTCACTGAGTCACCACTACCAAGTTCCTCATTGACCCCATATGATATATAAATCTTGGGTCCTACATCATTCTGCAAGGAGTAATGAGGCAATTTAGCTGCAACATTAAGAAGGCCCCATTTCGAGTGAATATATTCAAGTAAAGGCAGTTTGCTGATAAATTCCGGTCTTTGATGCAATAAAAATTCTTCAGATGCACTAGGCGAAGGCCAATCCTTCAACTTCAATAACCGTGGCCAACCATTTTCATGGGCATGCCCCTCAAAGTATCCTTTCATGAATTCGTTAAGTTCAATATCTATCTGCAAAAATCAGCATTTTCAACAAAACTGATTAACCGACAAATAAACAGTACAAGAAACAACCCATACAATCTCGATCATCAAATAAGTGTGTACCTCTGACCAGGTTAAACAATCCACGGCCTTAACCACTCGGTTCTCAACTTCTTTCATTTTCTCATCTGCTGTCTCTCGAACCCCTTTCCATATGGCCATTGGATCCCAGCTTGATGACCTATCAAATACTTGCTTGACAATAATGGGTTCACCATTTTTCCAGTGCTTCCTAAAATTTCCTATCCCATCAGTTTTGAGATCTTCAGATGCCGGACAATACAAATAATTATCATCACTGGCCTCCCTGTGGGAATATTGGCAAAGTTTGAGATCATTCAACTTGGTTTCTGATCCTCCAACTTCATTAATCTGGCAGCCACCAACCATCTCCTCCACATTTTTTACCAATTTCGCAACCCAATTCATTTTGAAGATGCGGCTTAAAGCCAATGGTGAATAACCACAGCCACCATATTTCTTTGGGGGGCATGGAATACTACCATCACTGTTGGATCTCCAATCAGGTAACTTATATAGCAAATTCTGCTCTGAAAGTTTTGCTTCATCTGTTGGGGTTACTTTTTCTGCATTTACATTTGCTTCTCGAAGATCTCGACAGCAATTAAGGCATAAATCATATGTACAATTTGGGCAGTGCCGGTGATAATCAGTAATGGGTATCCGACAGAAGTTGCTGCCAGACAACAAATCAAATTAAATAAAAATATGATCTGTACAAACTCTATACTAGGAAATATACCTGTTGCTCAGCACAATTAAATCAACCAATTAGAGGAAGCAAAATTTCATAAAAAATATATATGCCAAAAAACTTGATATGTTGCTGATTTACCAGCACATTTGCTCATCTGCATTCAGCTTTGTCCTGGGAAGATCTATTTCAATCCCTGGAGAAGATAACGTTATTGCAAAATTGTCAAAAGCCACTGAATTTTCAAGCAAACATGAAGATGTATCATGTATCTTACCACGCAACTTCTTTTCGAGTTCAACTTCATAACACTGCTCATGATGGATCTGCTTTACCACAGGAAGTACTGATGACAGCAACACGTGGAGATATTGTAACTTGTCTAGAACAGGTATTTCCCGAATCCGAACCTAAATCTCCAAAGGAAAATAGCTAAGAACCAAATGGCAAAGACCCTGTGTACAATGAATTTCATAGGCATACTTCACTGGATGGTATAATAGAGAAGGTAAAATACCTTTATTGAATTATCACCACGTAAGCAAACTTTGCAATTACAGGTGCCACGGCAGGCAGGACAGGTCCTCTCAATTTCGTCGAATGACATGTCTGAGTAGCTAAAATAAAGGAAGTCATAAAAGAAACACTCCCTATCCATATAAAATGAAATTTATAACTAACAAATGGGGTGTCTTCACCAGTATAATATGCCCACCATGTTAATATACAGTGCTCACAGTATCCTCTCCTATCACATCTTGAACACCAAATAACTTTGTCTCTGTCATTCCTTCGACATTGATGGCAAGTTTGCCCACCAGTTTCACCAGAGGAATCTGTACTTCCATCCGAGTATTCCTGGCATATGACCTTCCAAATCAGTATCCAGAAACAAAACAGCAAAATATTGATAGTACTGAGTATTGACAACAGGAATTACAAGTCAAGTTACAGATCCTTTCAACATTCCCAGTGAATGAGACCATAATATATTGATAATTCTATTCATTGCAGTTAAACCTCATCTTTTCAAGACAATCAGATATTGAGGACAAGGTTTGCTGTCAAATGCTTCTCAGAGATTTAAGACCCCAACTTTAATTGAAGTTTCTTATATTTTGTGATGCCTAGCTATAGAGCCTACTGGCAAACACAGGTGTAAAATTGATTGGATAAGACAAGCAAGCAAGATTCCAGAGCTATCACAAAATTCTGAAGACTTTTGATAATATAGACAAAAGAGCAGCATAAAGCCATAGACTTCATATTTTACCTTGACCAAATAGTTCAGATTTTTTTCAGAAGATGTATTATATCAACTATGAAGTCGCTGAGAGTTCCCATCACCTTTAGGAACTTACTCTTCTGCAAGCAGTTGACAGGACTAAAAGATGGTCCTAGTCGCAATGTCCCCCCGGGGGAAGGGTCATTATTTTAATCATACTACTATATTGCTTCGTTATCTTTTTAACATAGAAAAAGAGAAGAACAAAAGTTGGTAAAAAGAAGAAGAAGAATCAACTGCAAGTTTTTTAATATCAACTCACTGTTGCAGCATTGACATCTAAATTTGTTTGAGATCTTTTCCTGGGCAAGTCCATTCGAGAAGCAGGTGGCGACTCATAAGGCATCCAATTTTCTTCATACTGGGGAATCTCATCTGGTGAATCGTCATTTGGCTTCAGAGCATTACGAGCAGAGGTGGTCCTTGTGGTCGGTGCCTCTGCTGTATAACGGAACTGATTTTTTGATGCCTTGTTCTTTCCAGAGGCCGAATGCTGCTCAATTTTCATGCTAGCAAGTGGAATGTCAAAATCCTCACTCTTGCTCTCAAGATAAATGTCACTCTCACCTAATGACTTTCTCTTAGCCTTCTTCAGACTCGCTCTCATGGCAGAATTAGCTGCCCTCTTCTTTGCTTGGATGTAGTGCTTCTCACAGACGGTTTTATCTGGCATGGACATGGCAGTGCATCTCCATTGTTTCCCATCCGACCTCTTGCAGCGCAAGTCATCTGGAATCCCCACATTATCCTCGGCATTCCCCGAGGTCGTTCGAGCATGATCCATTTTAAGTCGGTAATGTTCATATACAGCAAGGTGCCACCACTGTCGACACGCGAATTTATATCTGGTGTCATTGCCAATCGGAAAAAAAAAAAAAAAGAGCCAGGTGGGAAAGAACAACCCTAGGAAAGCATAATCAGCAAATGTTAATTAGGATCATGCCCTAAAAAGGTTAAATTTTTTGGCCAAGCCTAAAAGGGTGAAATTAGCAAACATATACATTAGACCCACTATTCTACTTGCACACAACATGCATCGCCCGACATTCAGCTTTGTTGACTTCCTTGCCTTCTCTGTGTATTTGGTTGAGTCAGTAAGTCCCTTTGCTTATTCGGAAATATTCCGCGGGAAAATGAATAAACCCGAAAAAATAAGACACGGCGGACAATTAAGGGCGATCCCAGCTCTTTGACTGCTGGGTGGGGCAGTTCCAACTTATAGCCGGGGACATTAAGAATATTAAAACCAATTTCTAATAGCATAAGTACTAACAGAAATAACGGCACGGTGCAAGGATAATTCAGAGTGGTAGTAATGAGTGGAATCGACCTGTGAAGCCGCCGAAATTTGGAGTGCCGTCGTTCGGTGTGCTTCGAGTTCGAATCAGAAAATCTTGGTGTTACTGGAAATACTAGCAGCAAAGCATCAATGGAGGCCCTCGGGCAACGGAAGGCGACAGCTGCATTTTTTTTTTTTGGGTTTCTCTGCTTCTTCTTTTTTTTCCCCTATATGTATGGTGGACGGCCCAGCCTGGCCCAGAATTAGTTGAAATTTTTTCTATCTGCCATTTATGCTTTTTGGGAAAAAACGCTGCCTGCCGGCTGCCATTAGCGCAACTAATAAAGATGCTTGATTTTGGACCAAAAAATAACCCTTCTGATACGATGGTAAAGTAGAATATCAAGAATAAAAACTTATACTATTTCTTATAATCTATCATCAATTTTTTCATGAACTTTAAATGAAGGAATGCCATTTTTTTAAAAAAGAAAAAGAATAGTAATGAATGACTTTTGTTTTATTTCTTCAAGTCGTGGCCAAATTTGTTGGTACTGTTAACACATTTTAAATTAATCACGGTTTGGTACTTTTGTTTTTAAATCTCATTTTGATTTTGATTTCTGGGTCTTATTTATTTCTTTAAACTAAATTCTTGTTCCTCCTCACGATGCACACCCTCGGCCGTTGCGGGGTTAATTAGTACTAATGATGATTCTGTGCGGCGTTTGATTGACGGCACGCCGACGTCCACTGAGGGTGTTGTCTTGTGGAGGTCTTCATTTTTTTAATTTCACAACAAAAAAATGTTAGTCTTTTCATTAAATAAACATGAATACTAAATAAAAAATACAACGATTTTATCTTACCTACTAAACCTATTTTAACTATAATTTCAGTTTCATCTTTTATTCAGAATTTATTTAAAACTTAAATAAAAAATAAATTTTAAATTCTCATCGTTTCAACTAATGTATTTAAGTTATTATAATTTTTTATATCATTATAACTTTATTATTTGATTAAAAACTACAAGAATACAATTAAAAATATGAGAATTCCTATAAAGTCCAGAGAAAAAAATAATTATTAAAAAGTTTTAATAATCACCGAGCTGCCTACAATAATAAATTTTAGAGTAATCAATGATAATTACTCACCTATTATTATTAGTGAGGGAATATTAATATTTTGATTCTTATAGTTTTGATATGTTTTTAATTTAGTCTCTATAATTTGATTTAATATAATTCAATTTTTATAATTTTGATTTGATTCTAACTCAATGCTTAAAGTTTAACTCGCTGCAACTCAATCCTTATAGTTTTAGTCATTTTATAATTCAGTCTTACATTTTAAAAAAATAAAATTATATTAAATAGAAAGAGGGACTAAATTATATGATGACTAAAAATATAAAGACCAAGTTACAGTGAGTCAAATTTTATGAATGGAGTTATAACCGAATCAAAGTATAAAAATTGAGTTATAAATAAGTAAAAACTGTAGAGACTAAAAGATTAATTTTGCCTATTATAAATAATTTTTTTTGAATTAAAACCTCATTTAATAAATAATAATTACTCATTTATTATTAAAAATAATTAATAATTATTTTTTAATTAAAATTTCATTACAATTCTCCCATTAAAAATGGGGTAAAGAAGACCCTGGGTTGTCAGTTTCGCAGAGGGAAAAGAGAAATGAAAATTAATAAGCGGAACCCGCTATTTACTATTTCTTGCATTTGCGGCGTTTGATCCTCTTCTCTTTTCCCGTCTCCAGGTGATTCTAGTGAACTAGGGTTTGAAATCAATTGAGATAACCCCGCGCCTCCTCTCTCTGTGGGTGGAGTTTTTGGATTTGGTGTATGGCGTGAAAGCCATAGAAAGGCATGCTTTCTGTGGTCTGACTCGTATGTTTTAAGTTGGCAGGGTTTCGGGTTTTTTGGCATCTGATATCAGTGATGAACCAGAATGATAAACTTGACAGAAGATCAGATGCGTTAGAAGAATCTGTAAAGAATGACGGGGTTCCTGAAACCGGTACTGGTAATCCCAACGATAAGTCTTCGAACCTTCAAGTGACCAACGAAGTTCAGAATTTTTCGTCCGAGCCTGGTTCGGGAGATGCGGCTAGCGATGGTGATAATAGGCTTTCCCGAAATGTGAAATCTGAGAAGTCAGCAGTCAGTTCGATGGAAGAGTTTAGGGTTAGGGTTCGTTCAGACGGTGATGATGGGGGATCTATGGTCTCTCCGGCTAAGCAGGCATCTACCGTTGATCGGTTTGACGATTCTCTCGCTGGACGCGAGGCTCAGAATGAGCAATTTAAGGATCACACGGATTGGTCTCATGCTCGACACGATCGAGAAGAGCATATAAATAGCAGACAAGCGGATTCAGAGAGGTTTGTTGGTTCTGAGAGCAAATCTCTGTTATCTGAGTTTGATGATTACGTTGCTGCTGAAAGAAATGGCGCAGTGAGAGCTGGAGTGTCAAGGGGTGTGGGATATGGGTTTGAAGTGGGTGATATGGTGTGGGGAAAGGTGAAATCCCATCCTTGGTGGCCGGGACACATATATAATGAAGCTTTTGCGTCTCCTCTAGTACGTCGATCGAAGAGAGAAGGCCATGTGTTGGTGGCTTTCTTTGGTGACAGCAGTTATGGTTGGTTTGAGCCAGCTGAGCTTATTCCATTTGATTCAAATTTTGCTGAGAAATCACAGCAGATACAATCGAGAACATTTTTGAAGGCCGTGGAAGAGGCAGTTGATGAAGCAAGCAGGAGATGTGGCCTGGGCTTGGCTTGTAAATGCAGGAACGCCAGCAACTTCCGTCCCACGAATGTTCAAGGGTACTTTTCTGTCGATGTGCAGGACTATGAACCGGGGGGAGTCTATTCTGATAGTCAGATCAGGGGGGCAAGGAATAGTTTTAAGCCTGTTGAAACTCTTGCTTTTGTGAAGCAGCTGGCCTTGGCTCCCCTTGGTGGCGATCAAAGAAGCATTAGCTTTGTTAAGAATAGGGCTACAGCTTTTGCCTATCGGAGGGCAGTGTTTGAGCAATATGATGAGACATATGCGCAGGCTTTTGGAGTGCAGCCACAGCGGCCTTCTCACTCTCAGGTTAATCCACTAAATCAACCTGGGAGGGAGCCTCCTAAAGGTATGCGCTCTTCCTTGTTTTCCATTTTGGTTTGATACTAGTTATTCATAGTCTTTGTTTCACATTTAATGATTTAGGAGAGCTGAATTACATGACGCTGTGTTTTTTTTCCTGCTTTGACTGATAATGATGGCATTTTCAGCAATTATTTTAGTATGGAAGAGTTCCTCTTTGATTTGAAAGACATAAGCGTCATAGAAGAACCAGAGCAAGGGGACTTTGCTAGACCGGCTCTTAAGAGTGGCTGGTACCGGCCCTGCATGCTGCCTTCATTTCTTAGCTAAAGCGTGGTGCATTCGTGACTTTGTCACCGTTTAGCAGAAGAGTTTGTGGTCCTCTAAAGGAGTTTTGCCTTACCACACATAGTAATCAGGAAACTAAGAGGAACGCAATCAGGATAAGGCCGCATCCACCTAGCTATAGAATAGGAATCCTGTACCGTAGCTAAGGAAGAATTGAGGCGCAAAATATTGCTGATATTTAATTACTTGCCCTAAGGCTTTTGTTGAATGAATGTGGTTTACTAATGCCATGAGAGAGGCTGAGGTGAGTATTACCTCGTCAGGCACAAACTTTTCTGAGCCACAGAACCAGCTTCTGAGACTACTATTGCCGCATCGTGGGGGAAAAAACGATCAGTGAAAAAAATTGTTTTACTGACAACAGAAGTCGAGTGGAATCTGTCTCTCTCCCAGTTTCATATTTCTCTAGCTGTATCTCTAGATGATATTGTATTTCAATAGCTTTTACTCCTAGTTATATGTCTCCTCGCAAAGTTACTCAATCTGTGTAGATATGCATTAGAGTAAGAATATGCGATTTTTCCAATATGTGTGAGTTATGTTTAACATCTTGTGGAGTTATGTTTGTATTTGAATTTTATTATTCCATGGTATTAGCATGCTGTGGTCAATTTAGTAACAGTTATTGTTTGGTCTGGTCATGTTAACTGATTAAGACCCCTCCCAAATATGAGAATGTTTCCTTTTCTTTCTTTATTTTAATTGTTTTTTGTTGTGTTCTTCAGCCCCTTTGAGTGGTCCACTGGTGATGCCGGAAACTTTAGGTGGGAGGAAGAATTCTGCAAAATATGGGAAAGTTAAGGACAGTTCAAAGAAGGATAGGTACCTTTTCAAGCGGAGAGATGAGCCCACAAACTCTGTTCAGTTAGCTTACAAAGAGGAGGCACCTGATGCAGCTGGCCGTTATGTACTTCAGAAAAGGTCGCCACCCGTGTCCATGGCACCTCAAATTTTGGACAAATATGAAAAAACAGGGTTCACATGCCAGGGTGGTGCAAATTCAAATTTAGATCTTAAAGAAGCCGTGGCTGGTCAGGCTCAACTTGGCAATGATCTTACATCCCAATCTGTATATGCAGATGTGAAGCCGACTCTTGAGAAGGGAAAGGAGGAGGTTTCTCCAGAAATGGTCAGAAGTTTTGAGAAGGATGTCGCTAGCAAAGGCATTGGTGTGTTGGATTTGTCTAGGGAGACTGTAGTGCCAAGCCTCATTAGTGAGGCATCTCACCCTTCTCATTTGGAAGGTGAAACTTCTCTTAATGTTAAACATGAAGGGAATGTAAAGCTCTCAAGACCACCTGATGAATCTCAGCCATCATATCAGGGAATTAAGACTGCAGCTGAAGCAGGGAATGGCCCAAGTCAAGCGAAGGGGATTCCCCCAATTGAAGCAAAGCATCCCACAGTCAATGATGATGGTATGTTGAAGAAGGTGAAAGTCCATAAGCGACCTGCAGATGGCTTGCACTCTGAGCATTCTGCTATTGGGGAGAAGAAGAAAAAGAAAAAGAAAAAGGACCCAAGTTCAGGAACAACCTCTGTCCATGCGGAGAAACATTCAATGTCTGGGAAAGTTGCACCTCTGTCTGGAAAACTGATGGGAAAACCAGTTTCTGTTGGGTTGCCTCCTAGAGAGGAAGTTCAGGTAGAACAAGCACAGGTGGATGTTAATGCCAGTAATTTGCTTCCTTTGGATGGCACAGGTGAAGTTAATTATGAATTACCTCAGCTTTTGGGTGATCTGCAAGCTCTTGCTTTAGATCCTTTTCATGGTGTTGAAAGAAAGACCCCTGCAATTGTTAGACAGTTTTTTCTGCGGTTCAGATCTCTTGTTTACCAGAAAAGCTTGGCTTCTGCACCTGCAACAGATAATGAATCTGCTGACATTCGCCATGCTTCGCCATTTGTAAAATCTGACAGTCCTCTTGATGATCGTGTCAGAGCTTCACCACTTGTAAAACCTGTAAAAAACATTGTTCGGCCACATGATCCGACGAAAGCTGGGCGGAAAAGGACTCCTTCTGATCGTCAAGAAGAAATTGCTGCAAAGAGATTAAAGAAAATCAAGGATATTAAGGCTCTGGCTGCAGAGAAAAAGGTGGGCAGTCAGAAAACTTTTGAAGCCCGGCGAGGAGAGGGAAAAGAGTCCTTGGTTTCCACTGCACCCAAATTAGTGAAACCAGATACAATAAAGAAGAAAGTGGAATCTCCGCCTAAGGCAATTGAACCCACCATGCTGGTGATCAAGTTTCCTCCCCAGACTTCACTCCCTTCTGTTGCAGAGCTGAAGGCAAGGTTTGCTCGATTTGGGCCTATAGATCAATCAGGTCTCCGTGTCTTTTGGACGACTTCGACATGTCGTGTTGTGTTCTTGCGTAAGAATGATGCTCAAGCTGCATATAAATATGCTGTAGGCAACAATTCCTTGTTTGGCAATGTGGCTGTGAGGTGCCACCTCCGGAAATTAGGGGATTCTGCAGCTGAAGACGAAACTGCCAAAGTAAGGGGAGATGATGGCACTAGTTTGACTCCTCGTGCAAAGGATCCTGCAGTGGTTCAGAGGCAAACATCAGTGTCCTCTCAGCAACCTTTTCCACAGCCAACGATCCAGCTTAAATCTTGTCTGAAGAAATCCTCTGGTGATGAGTCAGGCCAGGTAAATGGTAATGGAGGTAGTAATAAAGGGACTCCACGTGTAAAATTCATGTTAGGCGGGGATGAAAGTAGTAGGGGAGAGCAATTAGCGTTGAGTGATAGGAACAACTTCAACAGTGCTAGTTTGGCAGATGGTGGTGCACCTTCTTCTGTTGCAATGGATTTTAATAGTAAGAACGTTCAAAAGGTCGTTACTCAACCACCGTTGCCTATTCCTCCCTTTCCAACCCAGTATACGAAAGTCCCCCAACATAATTTGCATAATTCGGAAATGGCACCCAGAAATACTTCCAATATTATAAACACAACTGCATCTGTTGCTGCTAATACAGTTGATATATCACAGCAGATGATAAGCCTCTTGACTAGGTGCAACGACGTTGTGACCAACTTGACGGGTTTGTTAGGCTATGTGCCTTATCATCCACTTTGATAAAATGGCACTATATTCAACGGATACACCTAATTGAAGATAAATACGAGCGAGTTTGATTGTGGACGAATTCCCCTGGCGATGGGAAAAGCAACAAATACTATCATGGCCAAAGATGTGGGGGGGTCCTGTATTTGGGGCCGAGAGCGAGCTGTTCGTGAGTGATGCTTATCTGAGCTTTTTGGGCTCGACAATGTAAATGTACTCAGCATGACAGTGAAATCCTGTTTGCTTTCTTCTGCCTCTTTTTCCCACTTGATTTTCTTATATACCCTATGCTATTTGGGGCTTCCGTTCGCCGTGGTTTGTCTTGATTCGTTGATCCTGACGATGACATGTTGCAATAGCCTGTGATGGTTTTCCTAGTAGTGATGGTTTTCCTATTTTCGTTTTGTAATTCATTAAAATGGAAGGAAACAAGTAAAAGAATCAAATGTGGTGTTTGATGTGAGAGATATTCCTTCATCCATTATTCTGAAAATCGACTCCCAAAAATTATTTCATTAATCTCCTGAGGGAACGTTATTGTGCATTGTTAAGACACGGCTGAATATCAAAACGGCCTCTGTTCCTCTTTACAACCTCTTGCCAAAGAAGATATCAGATATGGCTCCGCGAGACAGCTCGCTTTCCGATGGACGGCACAAAGGCTGGTCATTTGGATTTGGGTATTTGGGCCTTATGTTAGAGTCGGCTAAATGTTTAAAAAAAAAAAACAAAAGGAGGTGCGGCTTGTTTGGTTCAAATTGAAGCAAATTGGAAACCAAGCAAACAAATTGGTTTTTAGATGATGAAAAGACCAAACCAAATCTTACATTAAAAGTTAGTTTTGTTTAACATGATTTGATTTTTATTTCAATCAGTTTTTTATTCGTTTTTGAACCTACACGCCTCTCGCAAGTTTTAACCGCCAAGGCCGTCCCCAAAATGTAGCACTTCTGAGCTATCAAACTTTATGACTGTTTGGTCGCTGTAGGAGTTCACTAGAGACACCTTTCTAAATTTTGAAGTGCTTTTATATAAATTAAGACAAAATTCTAAATAAAATTATTTTTAAAACTATAATTTGGTTTCTAATCAAACATCTTATAAGTCAAGGTATATTTTTTTTAGTATCTATTTGAAGAGTGTATTACCATGGTGCATAGCATTCCTTCTACGCAATGAAACAGAGGTAATGTGCCCCCACATAATTGCGTTTTTCGCATTACTTTTGCTCCTCCTTTCGTTTTTCGGATTATTCTCTCATCCGGCGGGTAATGACTGTCGTTAGAGAAAACGACGAACCGTTTTGATTTTGAAGGGCAAATGGGACAGGTAAGGGGTAAATATTTCTGGGCTAATTGCTTGGACGCACTGGAGCATCCACCTGGAAGGAACCACCTTACCATCATCGTCCTCCTCCCAATCCTAGTTGTTTTATCTTGTGCAGTCCCATCCTTCTTGTCTCCATAGTTAATCCTAGAATTAGGAATTTTTCTCACCCTGATGGCACACGCTCCGCAAACCCTCGTGGCTACCGAATCGGAGCCTGATGAGCCTCCTCCTCCAGGCCCTCTTTCTTCTCCCTCCCTAAACCCTACTTCTCCCAACCGCGTGATGAATCCAGATTCCTCCCGAATTCCGACCCTCCTCCATATTTCCTTCAATCAGGATTCTGGCTGCTTCGCCGCGGGCACGGACCATGGTTTCCGGATCTACAATTGCGATCCATTCCGCGAGATCTTTCGACGGGACTTTGGTGCAGGTGGTGGAATCGGTTTAGTTCAGATGTTGTTTCGTTGCAACATACTTGCCTTTGTTGGTGGCGGAGCTGACCCTATTTACCCAAGTAACAAAGTAATGATTTGGGATGATCATCAGTCCCGTTGCATCGGCGAGCTATCGTTTCGATCCGAGGTCAAAGGGGTTCGTCTTAGAAGGGACCGAATTGTGGTGGTACTGGTGCATAAAATATTCGTATATAATTTCGCAGATCTTAAATTGTTGCACCAAATTGAGACAACGGCCAACCCAAAGGGACTTTGTGAGGTTTCGCATCTTTCAGGGACAATGGTGTTGGTCTGTCCGGGGTTGCAGAAGGGTCAGGTGAGGGTGGAGCATTATGCCTCAAAGCGGACCAAGTTTATAATGGCGCACGATTCTAGAATAGCTTGCTTCGCTCTTACGCAGGATGGGCGGTTGCTCGCCACCGCCAGCAGCAAGGGAACCCTGGTCAGGATTTTCAATACATTGGATGGTTCATTGCTCCAAGAGGTAGTTTTATTGGATTATCGGAAGCTTGTTTTCCAACGTACATGTCTGTTATCCTGCTTTTATGGATATACATGTGTAATCCTACATTGGACGGTTCACTACTCACTGGTTTTTGTTAACGAGTCATGCATGTGCGTGAGAGGTGAATATTTTCCGCAGAAATTCTCGGGTACCCCGATGTTGATGTAAATAGGAGATACGCTAGACACCTACTAATTTGCTGAATGTGGATACTTTGTGGCTGCGAAGGTAAATGCAGGCCACTTAGATTTTATCCAAAACAAATCAGTAACTGGATTGGAAACGTGCTTTTGTTTGGCCTATTAATATCGTCAATTATTGTTCATATCCTGCTAATGGCTGCGCTTTTGTTTTCAGGAGGCTTCTACTAGGTTGTCTAAGTAACCATTTTGTACGGCATTTCTAAATTAGTTGGATGATATTTTCAGGTAAGGAGGGGTGCAGATCGAGCAGAGATATACAGCCTGGCCTTTTCTTCTACTGCACAGTGGCTAGCTGTCTCAAGTGACAAAGGAACTGTTCATGTCTTTAACCTGAAAGTTGATTCAGGACTATTGGGACATGAGAGAGTGCAGAGTGCATCCGAGTCTAATCCTGCTAATCCGTCAGCAGTTTCATCTCTTTCATTTATAAAAGGTGTGTTCACTTGTACACAATGAATAATTTTGCTTTTGTTGTGGATGACGTTGGGTGCATTTTTTGGTACTTACAATTGACAAATGACGTAGGAGTGATTATGCACATATAATCTCAATTCTGAGTTTACAGGTGTTCTGCCCAAGTATTTTAGCTCAGAATGGTCCGTGGCTCAGTTTCGCCTGCACGAAGGTTTGCAATATATTGTCGCCTTTGGCCATCAGAAGAACACAGTTGTAATACTTGGGATGGACGGAAGGTATTTCAGAAATAAATTGTTTCTTAGATATATTTGACTTATTGACTGGAATATCATATTGGAAATATGGTTTGTGAAGTAAAACCTTAACATTTGCTTCTCTTCTACCCCTGCACATTCCCTGTTCTGATTAATCAATGCTTGTGCTTTAAAGTTTTTGGCCAAAGGGCATCCCTTACGACAGAAAAAAGCCGAATTAAGCTGTGACTTGTTATACGATGTTGGCTTGGGTGATGGGGAATCTTGTGACCTCTGATTTTATCGTATTATTTTGGGCATATTGTTCAAAATCAGCATCATTAAGCATGCAGAAGTATATCCTCAATTTCTTAACGTGACTAAAATTTAGTGTCTGATGTCAATCTCGCAAGACTCGTGTAGATTCAAATGTTTTCGCTTATGTCATATGACTAATGCAATGTTAAACTATTTATCATGTTGTAGAATAAACTTTGATGGAATTATTGGATTTTCAATGCAGCTTCTATCGATGCCAGTTTGATCCGGTAAATGGTGGAGAGATGAGCCAAGTTGAATATTATAACTTCTTGAAGCCAGGAGAAATATTCTAGAATCGGATGAGTCATGTATAAATCTTTGGTGGCCATTGTGAATAATATTATTTTCTCGTCACCCCTCTTGTGCGGAACGTAGTAGAAGTTGTAAATACACGTAATTATGTACAGGGCTTAACGTTATCATCATTACAAGTATGCAAATGAATGGCGACCGTCCGATGGACGCACAGTCAGTCATTGCAGCTTTATTCCGTCATCGCAACGACGACTATGAGTTCTTGACGGCCACGTGGTCGTTCAGTTCAATTTGTAAATCACTGCCGGGTTAATGTCACAGTCCCAATTTCCGGACATGGAAACACGATTAAACGCTGGAGGTCCAAGATACGCACTAGTTTCTGACCTTGCTATGTAAAATGTTTGCAAGTTGTGTGGGGTCAAGTAGAAATAATTTTAAAAATAGAAAGCAGTGCTTTTATTTTTAAAAAATAATTAAGAAATATTATTTTGCAGGAAAAGAAAATGCTGCTATTTTCCTGCGGCTGAACGGACAGCACTACGAAACGCAAAATGGAACGTTTTTAACTGCTCACAAATCGGGATTGGACTCCTCTGGAATAACAGTTAAAGTTGCCACTTTATCCCTTGCTCTTTTCACTAATACTTCAATGGGCACGCCAACTCTGACCGCCATAATTTCAACCACCTGAAATAATTGTATAACGTCTTCAGATTCAGAGCATATCAAATATGGACACTACATCATAATCAACACCATAATCCTCACAAGTAACTATAGTAGCACAACTAGAGTAGCAATAACACAACAATAAATTTCAATACCTCCTTGATCTTCTCTACGGGCTTCCCATCAAATTGAATGACAACATCCCCAGGACGAAAACCAGCTCGATCACCAGGAGACCCCGGAGTTACCTAGTCAAAGCCTTGGAAGATCAGAACGACGAACAAATAACTTAGAAGCATTCACATCCTTGACGTACCAAACTACGGGTTAACATCCATTCCGACGATCAGTCTCATGAATTATAGCAAGTAAAAGGATGAAAGCTTACAGCACTAACATTTACCATTAGCGTAAATGATCAATTAGGGACTTACCATAGGTACAAGAATGCCCTTGCTGACATTAGGGAATGAAGGATCTCTCTCTTTTAGTTGCGCTATAATCATCTCATTAAGATCAATCATTTTGAGCCCAAGCCATGGCCGTATAACCCTCCTGTAAAACACAGTGACCTTTTTTGTCCCTTCAACATGGTAGTATGCAAGAATAAATCTACAAGTAGGAACTTGACAGGAAAATCTTTTATACACAATTCTAGCTGAAATTTTTTTACCGTATTTCTAGAAATGGAAAAACAAACATAAATTATAACTGAGAGTACCAAATCTAAACGTTGTAAATAACAAACATGGAAGACTAACATCAATTTACAATACAAATCAGCCAAGTCAGTGAGATAGTTTAGATATAATAACATACCCACTTTTCTTGAAGTGCTCTATAATTTTACACACTGAATCAATTGGCACGGCGAAACTCAATCCATCAGCTGCTATCAATTTCATGATATTGACACCAACAACTTCTCCATCAATGTTAACCAGAGGCCCGCCAGAATTCCCCTATGCCACAACAGAAGAAACATACAGGTAGATTGAAAATTTATGCAAGTTCTCAGTTGTTTTGCATGCCGCGCATGGTAGGGTGGTAGCTTGTGAGGAAGAAGAGATAAAGACATACCATATTAACTGCACAATCTGTTTGTAAATACTCCCTTCGCATGCCACCAAGACCCAGATCACTACTTTTACGGTCGACACAACTACGTCCAGAAAGGAAAGAATGATCAAGAGCATTAGAATTTCATTGGTCTAAATCACAGAACTAAGCTTCTTTTTACTTAACCACAGTAAACTTCAAGGACTCATGGTAGGTTACTGCTCCTAAATCTTGAAAACAATGGCTATAGATGATAATGATGAAATGAGAAACAAAAGAATAACTTAAACTAGGGTTACGTCTGTCATTGTCAGAATTTTTATTCTTCACACCTTACAATACCAGCTGTGACAGTATTCTGAAGGGAAAGTGGACAGCCTATTGCCAATACCCACTCCCCAGGACGGAGCCTGCCAGAAGAACCAAGTTTTGCTGCTGGTAGTGGGGTTTTGGAATTGATTTTAACTAAAGCAATGTCAGAATGAAGGTCAGCATTCACCACTGTACCCTCAAATGTCCTCCCATCTTGTAAAGTCACATCAACCTGTAAAGTTGTTCACAGTTTCAATTCAGCCATTTACTTTATGAGTCAGAAAACAATTTCCATAGGCATAAGTTCTTAATTTTGTGACATGATGTCTTAACCATGTCGAACTACAAAATAACAATGCATAATATCATACTCAATCTTACACATATTATATGAACAATTTTGAATGATTTTGTAGCCTGGAGTTACTTAAATAAGAGATGACACTTTCATGTGAAGATTTTGAAGAAATAACCATATAACGAAACATCAAAAGATCAAGCATGTTTAACGTATGCTATAACAAGATGTTTAGTCAACTAAGTCATTATAGTATGTTTAATGCATGTTTCAATCTGGGGACTGGTTAACATCCTTGTAATTGCACCTTCAGCCAAGCAAAAAAGGGAAACAAAAATGATAAGATTAACCCCATATGGCAACAACCAAAACACAATGCCATTCTTCATGCATTACTCCCACTCCCAGTAACATTGTCACACTTCTTTGAAAACAGATCTGTGTGCAATCCTAAAGTATGCTAGCCAAACACCCATTTCTAGTCAGTTTTCTAGGGAACATAGCATCACAAAATATCTTAGCTGGTTGAGCTAAGATATACCACATATACTTAAGCAACCCCAAAATCAACGGATCAGGGACTAATAATGATTTGATAGTATCCAGAATAAGAATCTATACAAAATGCCTATCATCTAGCTGGCAGTTGGCTTCAAGTTAAGGCCCATCATGTTGAGCTCATTCAAGCTCTCACAAGTGTATCATATAAATCTACGACAGTTATAGTTTGCCATTGTTGCAAACATATATGTTTGAGTGATATGCTCCATCATGAACACAAACCTTCCCTTTGGATGAACTTCTCAGGCCTTGAAAATCAACCACAACATGTGCACAAGTCAATATTGTACCATCTTTGTCAATTATAGTTCCAGAGCCAATACTTTTTGCAGTAGTCATACCATAAATCCCTACAAAGTTCATGCATAATCTCAAGGTAAACGCCATAGCATACCAAAAATTTCAAATAATGCAGGTGAAGAGATGCCAATTTGAAAAACACATACCTTGTGAAACTGAAAGATTTACAACAGCTGGACCAACCTTAGCAGCTGCATTTGCAATGGTATCTCTGCCCAAACAATCACAAGGCTTTGCGCCATCAGCTACAACCCCAGAAGCTTCCTTTGGTATGTCAGATGATGAAGCAGGACTGACTTTATAAGAATATAGCGGAATTATTCCTAAAAATTTTAGACAGTAAGGTGATATAAACCTCTATGCATTGAACAGGAACGAGTTTAAATTCCAAGTTCTAGAATTTCGAGGACATACCAGAGAGATCATGATCCAAGAAAAAAGGTAAATTTCGAGGATAAAATTCAGGCAGCAATTGCCAATCTCGCAACCGTTCGGGGACGTGTACCGTCGTCGACGCTCCTAAATTTGAAGCCAAGGTAAGAAGATATGCAAATGACAGTTAGTTGATATCTGATGGTTTTGGAAGCCAAGAAATGCAGAAACGTTGGTTAATTATCAAATTAGGCATATACTGATTTGCTAAGTGTGAACAAACTCAAAGAGAAACATCCATATTTGAACCAAGAAAACACCACACAATGTTTATCAGGAGTGCTCAACTCATAGTCGACGAAAGAGGTTAACGTTCTCACTCAAGTTAGCATCGCCGTTGGAGTACAAGAGACCCGAGCCAGTAGCGGCGACCGCTATGGCCCGCATGAGAGAGCTTCTGCAACCGCCAGAATGAGCAAGCCTTCTCTGCAAAACAAGTCCGGTCCGAATCAAGAAAAGAAAAAGGAATAACGAAATGTTAAGACTAAGAAACAAAGGTGATTCGAAATAACGCGTTGCAAAAAATGAAAGCAAAAGATGAACTGAAGAACGACATGAATACCAAGAAATAGCTCATGAGGGGCGACGAGCAGAAACTTCCTAGCCTTCAGCACACCGAGCAAGCGAACATCGTCTGGTAGAGTCAAAGCCTAGGGCCAAACCACGTTGGGATCCTCTCGCGCGTGCACGAAGAGGAGAGGCCAAAACGCACCGTTTCTAACTCAATCCAACGCGCCGTTTTTCCTTTTGGGCTCTCCCGTTAGAACTTGATCCGCTATTTCTATTTCTAAATATCCTAAAAATCGTGAATCTTTGCCGCTTTGGACAAGGAGTTTCTATTTTCCAGGCCTCGAAATTTTGAGATGAAGCTCTACTTTGGTTTGCTGGTAAACGCGGGAATGTGCTGCAAATCAGAAGCTATTTGATCTTGAGGTCCTACTTGTCGTTTCACAATCTTGCCTTTTTATTATTTTGGTCTCTGCTAGAAGGTCGGATGACACTTTCCGTGTTCAATTATTGTTGAGCAATGAAAGTTCACTGTGAAATTCCCTCGAGTGGTTATTAAATATGTCTTCTTGATTGCTATGGTAACTCTTCGTTGAGGTTGATACGAAGTTCGGAGAATAACGATATTATTCATTTCAATTTGAATCCTTCTGTCTCAATCCGGATTTTTTTTGGGACTGAGCCTCAAGCCGGGTTTGAAACTCCTGAAGATGCTTCCGTATTCGCAGGGGAAGCCTCCTTCCCCCCCCCCCCTAATTTAAGTATGTAACATTATGCCCTTGTTATGTAGTTCTACCGAGCTTTGTTTCCATTAACATTTTACTAGTTCCGCAAGCTTGTCGTCAGGGGATGTCATGGATGGTAAGGACGTATCTTCCGATCAAGTCATTGCAGAAATGCTAGAAATGGGGTTTGAATATGCCAATATTATGGAAGCTTTGAAAGCAGTAGGTCTATCTACTCATAGTGCCGTAGAGTTTATCCTGAATAATGCTGGTAGAGATAGCGGTAGGGCATCTCCTTCTAGGATTAATAATTCCAAATTTCATAAGGGCAACGAGAAGGGCCTCAGAAAAGGGGACTTGGCCTCATCCCATTCCGCAAGTTACGTTCGACAGTCCAGTATCCTGGACCATCTCCAAGCCACTAATGAATCAACAAAAAGAAAGATAGATATTGTACGTGGTGTGCCGTTCAGTAGGTTGGAAGTTCCTTCAGGCACTGTGGAAGAGGTCACAGAGCCTTTCTCTGACATGGATGCTGATTCCAATATCTTGTCAGGAAATTGTAAGGCTGATTCCCTGGATGAATTGGATGGTTCATCAGACTGGGAGCAGAAAGCTAGCAATCTCTTGCAGGAGCATTTTGGCTTTTCATGCTTAAAGAGTTTCCAAAAGGAAGCCCTGACTGCCTGGGTAGCTCATAAAGACTGTCTTGTCCTGGCTGCAACGGGATCTGGTATCATTCTTTGACTTCGCTTGTCACAACTCCATTGCTACTGCACTTCTATTCATAATTACTTTTTGGCAGGAAAGTCTTTGTGCTTTCAGATTCCTGCATTGCTATCTGGGAAAGTGGTGGTTGTGATTTCGCCCTTAATAAGCCTGATGCATGATCAATGCTTAAAGCTAGCAAGACATGGGATCAGCGCCTGCTTTCTTGGGTCTGGGCAACCTGACAATACTGTTGAACGGAAGGCAATGAGAGGCATGTATAGTATAGTATATGTATGCCCAGAGACAGTTCTGAGGTAAGGTTTAGGTTTATACTTTATTAATTATATTTTCAAGTCACATGGATTGTCCTTTCTTCTCTTGGATTAAAAAAAAAAAAAATCATTATTTTTTAAAATGTCTGATAACTGCAACTTAGTTTCGTGTAGATTGATTGAACCACTACAGAAGCTTGCAAGAAGTCATGGTATTGCTTTATTCGCAATTGATGAAGTGCATTGTGTTTCTAAATGGGGCCATGATTTCCGGCCAGACTACAGGTCTGTTTTCCCCTTCTATTCCACTTTGTTCAATAATTATTAGTACTTCTATTGGTTGGTGTACCAGAGCATATCAACTGATGATAATAAAGTACGGTTTATTTATTTAATGCATTAATTGCTGTTGTGATTTCATCACTCATATGATTGATCATTCTATTATCATATTTGGTAATAAGATGTGGTTTATGTTCCTCATTTAGTGTATGTTTTGTAATCCTTTAATTGTCTCTACTATAACATGTACTTCAATTCTTATAATCAAGCGTTCTCTTGTTTCAGACGGCTGTCTGCATTAAGGGAAAATTTCAGTACTCACAAGCTAGAATTCCTGAAGTTTGATATACCTCTAATGGCTTTGACTGCTACAGCCACCAACCTGGTTCGAGAGGATGTTTTGAAGTCACTACATATGTCAAAAGAAACAAAGATTGTTCTCACTTCCTTTTTCCGGCCTAATTTACGGTTCACTGTGAGTTTGCTGCCTATGACACGTATATTTATCCCTTCTTATCATGACCCAATAAAGAAAAGGAGAAAAGGAAGGGAAGGGGGGGGGACACTGCTTATAGCTTCTTGTTGCTCCATGATATCTCTCAGTCTTTGTGGCTTCGTACAGGTAAGGCATAGTGGGACATCTTCATCTTCGTATGGGAAAGATTTTCATGAGCTAATTGAACTATATGGTAAAAAGCAAAAGTCAGTTGACAAGAAAAAAGTTTTTATATCAGAGGAATCACCAGATGTTTTCATTAGCTCTGATGCCAGCGGAATCAGAGAGGTTGACAGTCTTTCTCCTTGTGATTTGGATGCTGACCAAGATGATTACAGTGAAGGAGGTATTAATGTATTGCATTCAAGAAGCACTAGTGGTGCTATAAATGGAAAAGAATTGTCAGTCGAGTACCTGGAAAACGACATTGAGATCTTTCAAAGTGTGGATGACTGGGATGGTACTAATCTGTCTCCTGATAAGCATTATGGTCTATACTAGTGCGGTAGAAACTTACAGCAATTTCTATGCGGAAGTGGATAAAATATCAGTCTTATTAAATAATAGTGATTATTTATTGTCTCTTAATCATTTGCGTACTTTCAGTTGCCTGTGGTGAATTCTGTGGACAACCTTCTCAAAAGGAATGGAAGTTATCTGAGATTGCTGATCCACCCAAGAAATTGGAAGAAAGACTTAGACTTCTTGAAGGGCCTTTAGAGCGAGGACCAACTATCATATATGTACCCACCAGGAAAGAAACGCTGAACATTGCAAAGTATCTATGTGAATTTGGTGTGAAGTCTGCTGCTTATAATGCATCGGTATGGGTTATACATGTTACATGCAACTTGCTTGATTAAATGAACTTTTCAGGTTGGATACACAGTTGTTGTTTTGCCTATTTTTGAAAATGAGAGAGAGAGAGAGAGAGAGAGAGAGAGCATTTTGAAAAGCCTTGATATTAAGGGAGGTGTGCATTGCATGTATTTGTAGTTTGTAGTAGAGAAAAGGTTGTATAGCTTGAATACTCCAATGTGAGACTTCTATAGTCTGATTTAACAAGGAGAAGACAAACTTGCCCCATAGGTTGAGGCATTTAAAACTAATGCACCAAGCTTGTTACAAAATATGCAACCCTTGAGATTGAAAGAACTTTTATAAAACGTAGTTCTAGAGGAAAAAGTCAATCGAGAGAATCCAACTGATAAAAACTCTTTGATGACAAACTTCTATAAGCTTCATGATCACTCTTGATACAAAAAGCAGCCAATAGATGACCTTGTGTTACATATATTTATAGTAGAGAAAAGGTTTTATAGCTTGAGATGCAAGCAGTAAACTTTTGTAGTCCTTTTGTAGTCTAACTAATCAAAGAAGAAAGACAAACTACTCATAGTTTACCACTTATAAAAACCCAAGATTAAGATAGTGAGAATTGACCAAGTCTCCTCTTGGTGCCACTGGCTGTTACATGAAAAGTCAAAGTGAAAGGCTTAGTAGAATCTTTTGGCCTCCTTTATGGTTTTGTTGTTTTTGTTTTCTTGTTGGATCAGTTTTAAAATTTTACAACTCCATCATGTCAATTTACTGGAAACATTTTGTTCGGCAGCATAACCTATGTGCTCAACACCGTGAGTTATATTTTAACAATGGCTTGTCTAAAGCAAAGAAATTTTAAACTGTACTGTGTGTCTGCTTTTGGTTTTTAATATGTTATTATACATATCCTGGATTCTAAATTTGCACATGTTACTTGTGAAATGATGCCTCTTGTTCGGTGTTAAATTGATTTGTGAGCTCAATTTCTTTCTTCAGCTGCCCAAATCACATCTAAGAAGGGTACACAAGGATTTTCATGAAAACACACTAGAGGTATGATGGACATACAACAGAGCGTCTCTTGTTTCTGTGTAATTGTTTGTTTAACATTGCTTGAGTTATCCAATTATGAAATGTGGACCCATTTTCACATATTCACTGTGTGTGTTCTTCATTTTGCTATTCATTTTTTCCTAAATATATAAGAAAAAATTGAGTCTTTTATCAAAGGGCTGTGATGGTATTTATGGAGACATGGCTCTAACTTGTGTTTACATGTGTCCCTGTGTTCTTGTGTTTATATGAACTTATCAAAGTTTAAATCCTTGTCTTCATCCCGCAGAATTGTATTAATTTTTGTAAAATGACGAAGTACACATGCTTTATTATTTTCAGGTTGTTGTTGCAACAGTAGCTTTTGGAATGGGGATTGACAAATTGAATGTTAGAAGAATCATCCATTATGGTTGGCCACAGGTCTGTCTCTGTCTTCTCTAATACCTGGAGTTTATCCGTGTTTCCTTGTGCATTAATGCAGCTCAACCTGGCCTATATGGCATGGAACAGATTCTTAGTTTTTTTTCCATCTGAACCTGTATATACAGCATGCTTGTCGAATTAATTGTGTCTAGTGTTTTTACTCCCTGAATCTTCAATTTTTTTCCATTCAATCCTATATCATTAGTTTAATTTAACATGAGCAGAGTTTAGAAGCCTATTACCAAGAAGCTGGTCGGGCTGGACGAGATGGTAAATTAGCAGATTGCAGTAAGTTCAAGTGCAGCTCCTATTAGTATGCTTCATCACCTTGGTTGCAGATTTACTTTGCTGTTCTTTGTTCTCTGGGGTTTTGGCAACTTACCTTGTCCCTATCATTTCACAACCAGTTCTTTATGCGAACCTATCAAGGTTGCCGTCACTTTTGCCCAGTCATAGAAGTGAAGATCAGTTGAAACATGCCTATGTCATGTTGTCTGATTGTTTCAGGTTTGAATTTGTGACCATATTTTTTTACAACTGTCTTGTTTGTATTAGCATTTACCAAAGAATATATTATTATATATGCAGATATGGAATGAATACTTCCTCTTGTAGGGCTGAGACTCTCGTGAAGTACTTTGGAGAGGATTTCCATAATCAAAAGTGTCTGATGTATGCCCACTATGTCCCCACCATTGTGGAGTCTTTCGGAATTTAATTAAAATACTGCCATGCTATGAAAGGGGAAATCCTGTATGTATATTAAAGTTGCCACTTCATGTGACTTTGTAAATAAGAGCTACATGCCTAATCTACTTTTCTCTTAACGCTGTGGCTTTGACGGTCTTATGGTGATATTAATTTACCACTCCATTTAAACCATTGTATTTTGGCATTTCTAACGAACATGCTGTCATACAGATGTGATGTGTGTGTTGATGGACCACCTCAAATGCAAAATCTGAGAGAGGAGGCATGTACTTTACTCCAAGCGGTAGCTGAACATTATGTATGTACATTAATTTAATTTTTATACCTATTGCACTTGTCATTAATTGTTTATCTTGCACAGGAAATTGCATTATGGTAGTACTGGTAACTCAATATTTATCAGTCATGCATGTGTCAGCCTTCTTTAGGTGTTTTTACCTTCGTTTAAACTTCAATTGGATAAATTGACGAATTGCTTTGTTTTGTGTAGTTTCTCAAGTCGCTGCTAAGAATTGAGTTTTGTGAAAACTTTTCTTTGCTTCCAAAAACCCCAGTGATATGAAGTTCACATGGTTTGGTGATTGGATTTTCTACTTTCTTTGAGGAATGGAACTAATAATGTTGCTTTTTCAGGGACAATGCTCTGATGTGGATGGCTTATATGATGACGATATACATTTTGACTCTGAAGGAAGAAAAATTAAAGGGAGGCTTAGTCTTAATATGGTTGTTAGGAAGATAAGGGGGCAGGTCTCACTTTGTGTGTGCTGTAATCTTGTTTTAATTGGGTGTTGGAGCAGGTAACAGAATTTTAATTGTTTCGTATGATTGCTATTTGTAGTCTCAAAAATTTTTGACCACTGATACGTTATGGTGGAGAGGTCTCGCTCGAGTTATGGAACAGAAAGGATACATCAGGGAAGGAGATGACAAGGTAACTTATTCGAGCTGGAAAAATGCCTTCCCGTTCATAGTACTAAATCATGTTCGTGAACTTCTTGCCTGAATTCTAGGGATTGATTATCTCTAAAAATCAAATTATAAGGAATGAAAAGGATTTTCAAATAAGAGAAACAAGGCGTTCTTTCTAATGTGCTTGGAGTATTGATTGACCCAAAGAGTAGAAGCAATTCTCAGCTCTAATACCATGACGCAGAGGAAGTTGGAGGAAAGGGGGGGATCTGTCCTTATTCTGAAACTGTTAGCATATATACAAGTGAGACCAAACTAACTTGAGAAACGCTCTAACTATAATTTAAAATCCGGTTTTTTACAGCTGAGTGATCCCGGAAGGAGGTAATATATTGTGATACCACGAAGTAATGCCATAAAATGGGTCTCTACGCCAGTTAGCCTAACTTACTCTCAAAATCCTGTGCCAAAAATAATTGCATATCTTGCCTGCCATGCATATGATTTGATGTCTACCTGCAGGCTGCCTGTGCTTAGGCATTAGTTAGTTTTATTACTTGTGATGAGGTTTTAACTGTATCACACTATACGACCGCAGAGTCATGTGCAGATTAAGTACCCGGAACCAACAGAAGTGGGATTGAAATTCGTCAAGTCAAATCGTGAGCAAGCTTTCTATGTTTACCCTGAGGCGGATATGCTGCTTGCGGCGAAAAGCAGCCACAGCAAACCATACTCCTCATTCTCGGACTGGGGAAAAGGTTGGGCAGATCCTGAGATTCGTCGCCAGAGGCTCCAAAAAATGCAACTCGATAGGAAGTTAACGATGCTGCCAACTCCTAGAAAATCGCACAAGAGAAAAGCTATCAGAGTGAGGCCTGACCTGAGGACTTGTCGTGGGAGACTAGCGGCAAAACTCTCCAAACGTACGTGATTTCGAGATTTATTAGACGGTTTATTCATCTTGATTTCGTTAAGAATGAGAAACTTGTTCAAATTGACGCGTATGGTCACCGATTATACTGATATTGTAGCAGAGCAATCCTTCAGTTGTCATCTTAATGCCAGGAAGCTCATTCATTTGTCTCGATATTTTTTCTAAAAGTCAATTCTATAGTTTTTAAATTGTTTGCAAATACTTCATAATTTCTTAAGACAAAAATGTATTCTTTGCAATATTTACGTGACTGGGTCAAAAGTCAGTGTTACGTCTAAGCCTGTAAGAGTGTAAGGCAATGTAAAGCAGAGTTTCGTTTCCACGCAATAATACATTGCCTGGAGATGCCTCAAGGGCATTTATGCCATATAAACGTATGTATGAAGTAGGGACCGTTTCATCTTGCATGGGCACGGTTTCATTATTTGATTGACGGCTAAATTTGTCATATAAAAAGATAAACGAAATTTTCGTAAAAAATTAACAAATTTAAATTTAAATTATGAGGATGAGAGGAGAATAGTATTACTATTAGTCAGCGCCCCACAGGATTGTGAAACACTTGGAATGAGAGGTTCAAATGCTCCAACGCTCCAACAAAATCAAAATAAAGTTACACTCAATCTGTCGGTAATTTGATCCTATGAAGTATGAACACACCATACAGTATACACTCTAATCTACCTGAATGGAGCGAGCGGATTTGGGCAGCGGGGAGCTTGGGACCTTCTGATTTCCTTACATACATTATCCAACATGCCCATAAAGTCTCTTACAATCACAAATATTCGGAGTGGATTTGCGTCTTCTTTGCTCACATTCCCGTGAAAATACTCTGTGATTTCTTTCACACGAGCCAGCACTCTATCTTCATCTCCTTGCAGGTCCCTCAGATTTCTCTCTGCATAATTCAGGAAAGCCTTCATCGAATTCACAAAGTTCTCGCCCTTTTCATCCGCATGTAACTCCTGTACCAGATATTGCAGCTTAGCCATTCCGTCTTTGAGGTTCGAGACAGAGCTGGCAAGAACGTCTAAGTCGATTGTCGCTGTCTTCTTTACGTTGTACAACTCAGTACTCAAACCAGAAACAAGTTCCAATCCCATTCTTCTGTAATCATCTTCCTTCTCTTCTTCTGTTCTGTTCTTGCTTTTCTGGCTGATTTTCCCCATAATGCTATCCGAAACTCTGATTCCTTCTGATCGAACAATCTCCTGAACAACAAAATGGAGCAACGTGGTTTTACCATCAGTTCCCTTAACATCAGCTAGCTTGAGAAGGGCGTCGAGCTTGAAAGCCCGGGCACCTCCCCTTATTGTCCCAACATTCATACGGTTTCCTGTTTTCAGCACAGCTTCAAGTAATTTCAGGAAGAGCCTACTTGACCTGAGCTCCTTGCACGCCTCCTATTTGAATAAAAGACGAAGAGAGAAATCATAGGTCGGTAACCTTTAATGAAACAAGTTTGTCTTGCTAATCTTAATAATTACCTCGAGCATTGAAAAAGAGTTCCTGAGGTGGACAATCTCATCCTCAAAAGTTTCTCTGTAAAGCATGGCTTCAACACGTTGAAAGGCAAAGGGTATGCTCAGCATTGCTCTCACAAACTTCTCCGCGGATCCCAAATCGTTGACGTCTCCTTTATAATTCGCGAGCTTATCCTCTTCTTCCTTAGTGGGTACCATCTTCACCAGTGCCTCTAGTTGTTGTAAAGCGAGGCCCTTGCCTTTTTTTTTTTTTAATCAGTTGATAAGATCATAAGAACAAGATCTTCAACTTCAGAAGTATTAATTTGATAATTGATTGTCATCAGTAAATGTTGTGAATCCACATGCGTGCTATTATATAATCTAAATCAAAAGTGGGTGGTGGAATTTACTTATTAGTCAGAAGATTCAGACCATTAATGATTATTGGATAATATTGAGTGCCATATCCTTCAGCTCCCGGCATGGAGCAAATTATCACTTTATTATTTGTGCCCCCCATTGCGGACAGAGACTGGAGGATTTTGGAATTTGGAACATATAAAGAAAACTTCTTCTCCTATTATAGCAAATGATTACAATTTATTAACAGCGCACTAGCATTATTACCTTGTATCAGGGTTTCACATACTTGTTCAGCTGTCACATTCAGCGCTTTTGAGAGGATTGTGATATTCTGCAACCTCTTTGGCTCGAGTAGGTGTTTGCTTGGAGAAGGACTTTTGCTCTTTGTCTCATCGTTCTTCAATGAATTTTGCAAATTGTAGCCAAAAAGTGACTCGATCATTTCCTCATCAAACCTGGTTAAAATTCATTAATTGATGAAAATGAGGATTAACAGGACGATATAAAAATAATAATAATTACCATTATTCACGAATGAACAACTTACTCAAATGAGCTTGTTCGCAGCTTGTCCCAAACCATTGTGCGATCCGGGGCAGCTCTTACTTTATCCCAGTGAAGTGGTTTAAGTTTTGGTAGTGGGGCTCCATCTTTCCCCAGAGGCGTAAACTGGGGAAGCTGAGATGGCGGAGGAGGTGGAGTTTTTGCGTTGTTGTTACCTTTGAAGGGCGATGGTGGACATGGTGGTGGGGGAATGGTACGTGGCGATCTCGGGGGGAGAGGTTGAAGAGGACTAGGCGACTCATTTCCTCCACTTATATTCAATGCTGAGTTAGAATCCGAGTTTCTTGGGGATGATAAAGAAAGTGGAGAGTCGGAGGATATTCTTGATGAAGAAGTAAGAGAATGCAAAGAAAACAAGGGCATTTGTAGAGTTGGAGGAGGCGGCGGCGGCGGCGGAGGAGGCGTGGCGGCTTGGGGACGTTGTGAACGAGTTTCAATCTTTTGCTCTTCCTGTTTGGTAATGCATCGTGATTGAGGAGATTCTATTATTGAAGTTGAGGTTTGGGGCGAATGAGGAATTTTCTTCGTGAATGGAATCGGCGAGCTGATAGAATTAGACTGAGATACTCGAGGCGACGGAGACACCGTCTCAGTCACACTACCCGCTGAAGCATCAGAAAGTCTGACATTTGACGAGTGGGAATCGGCGAAGGAATGAAAACTTTCAGTCTCTGATGAATTGCGTTCCATTGTAATAATTTTATCTTCACCATCATCAGATTCGGATTCATGTTTCACTGATTCAGCATCCTCGTGAACAGATAGAATTTCCTTTGTGGAAGAACTGCTAGCATTATCATATCCTGAACTGATCACTTCTTGATTTAATTCCATCTTCTCATAAATTGCACATTTTGGGATGGAGATATCATTTGAGCTTGTGTTTACTGTTTCAGAGGTTTGTTTCAAGCTGCAGGTGTGTTGCTCTATATCTTCGCCTAAAGCATTCAGATAAAATAGATCTATGGTCGAGTTCAAACCCACCTGACTTGACGAGTTTTCATAAATACCGCCGCTTCCTCCGTTCTTGCTACAGAGTGGCATCGTCCTTTTGGGTTTCTTTGCATGCTTTCTGCATTTTCTGAAAAACCAGATAAGCCCAACAGCACAAATCACTGTAGCAAACCCCACGGACACAAGAACACCTACTAGTACTGCCTGAGCTTTCCCTCTATCTTTATGTTGAAACTTGTGAGCTGATGGATTGAAATGGGAACGATGCCGTGGAGGAAAGTGATGAGCATACACATGCGGTAACGGAACAGGGGATGGAGATGGAGATGGAGCCTCGAGTTCAGTGGTAGGTGAGGGAGAAGGTGATGGAGAGAGAAACTCAGAATCGCCATTGGATGACCTTCGGGTTTGGAAACTGTGGAGTCCGAGCAAAGCTCTGAACCTTTCCGCTATCAGAAGACCCTTCCCATTATTCTCATCTTGTCCAGAGATTTTCTTAATCTGGATGTCATTTTCTTGTCCGTTCTCTGATAGGACATGGATGTGGAAGTTTCCTGCCGGGTGAAACAGAGCATCCACAGACAAAATGTAGGTTTTCTGAAAAGATAGGCTTATCAATAGGAAGAGGATGATGAAGAGGATGGAGCTTAGCGCCTCGGAAGCAGAAGCCATTTTCGTGCAAGCAAAAATCATCAAGACATGAATGCAACTTTTGTGTTCATGAAATCTGCTTTCCCTTTTGTTGCATCAGATTTCCAAGGGTGGTGCTGGCATCCGGTAGTGTGAGGAAGATCCAGAACACTGTCTTTAATGCTACTCCAAGGAACCCCTGAACTTGGCAGTTGTAGTTGTGCAGGGTCTTCTTTACTTCACCTGCTCATAAATTCTTCTCTCTTTCTTTTCCCTGCAAAACACTCTTAATGCGTAACACAGATTTGGAAAATATTTCCCTCCTCCTGTTTCACTTGTTTCCTTTGTCTTATATGCGATTATGGGCCACCCGTCAGATAAAAAGTTAGGCTCCTTCTCCCGCTCATCATGATCAAACAGACAATTACCCCAACACATCATCTTCTCGACTTCTTGTTATTGTTGAGGATTCAAATGCTTTTATTACATGAGATTTGAGTCATGGTCTTCCAGATTGAATATTACACTTGTGGCAGCTAAAAGTCATATAATAATATAATATATTGATCTGGGCCAAAAGGCCGACGGGAGTGGGGTGGGGAGAGAGTGGGACCCCTTTTTTGGGGCCATCCTAACCATCGACGGGTGACCGTACAAAGAGATCTCCAACCCCACAATGATGAAAGAAGGATGGCGATGTGGGGGAGGGAACAAACAGTCCATCACCTTCACATGTGACCTTGTTTGGCAGCGTAACTAAAAAAGTGCGACATTAACATATACCAGAGACATCTGCAGTATCTTGATTGTGTTATTATGAAGGGCTAAAAAGGGTTTTAATCTTTTTCCAAAATCTGGTTAAAAAGGTTTTTTAACTTTCTATTGCTTGTTCTTTTGCCGTTTTTTGTGGTCCGAAATATGGTATCCACGGTTTGGTGGGAGTGATGTTGATTTTTTTGCCCTCGGGGGAACTATTGTCTCTTTTCCAGTGTCCACGCCTAACCCGGCCAAAGACGCTCACACGCACCTAAAACAGAGACACAGAAAAGCGGCATGGTCACATTGCCAATTTCACGACCTTAATTAGATTCCTTAATTGAATTCATTGATTTGAGAATAACAAAAGTGTCGTGTTCTTTCCTATTTTGGCAGCAGATTCCATCCACCAGTTTTATAATTTATATCGTCTGACCATACACATTATTTAATGCATTAGACGGAAGGAGCCTGAGGTTGTGAAGCGTTCCGCGATATAAAATCTATGG